AAAGACAGAAAGACAGAATGACGAAGAAAAAACAAGAAACTGTGAAAAGGAAGAAGAAGAGAACAAGAATCAAGACAAACAGAGAAAGAGAACTATAGTTTGTATATGTTTGAAACTTCCGCCCACCGGCTTTGCCGGCTCTACTGGTAGTGATGAAGATGAGGAACGCCGTTCCGTACGACGGTGATACCGTACTAGTGGTTGATGAGGCTTGCTGGTCTATGTTGTCTGAGGGCGCCAGGCTTTGTGTAGTAACAGGTTCCTTTACAGTCCCGCGTGACATAGAAGGACCAAGTGTAAAACCAACAACAACTCTCCCTTGCAGAACGTCAAGGGCAAACATCCAAGCACCCATCTCCGCCCTACACGTCTGAAAGTTCCCGCCTTTATCCTGCTTAATCGTCAATACCCATCTGCCGGTAACAAAGTTCTTGACTTTCTTTTTACGAGTGTCAACCAGGTCATAAACCTCCTTTGTCAATCCAAGATTGCATCTCTGCTTTCTTCGCCTAGAAGAATTGATGGCAAGTTGGCGTTTCTCGGAGCCAGTAGAAAAAGACAAATAGGAGGTTCAAGGACAAACACAAAGACTGGCAATGCACCAGGGGTAAGTCGAGGACTGTCGCTGTTGCGAGGTTTGTTGTCGGATCGAGGTCCTTTGTCAGGTTCTCTTTCATGTCTGCTGGGAGGAGTTTATCCTCCGTGTCCTCCATGCGGTCATCACCGGTTGTTTTCTAGAAATCGGAAGCAAGGCTGCTTTTGAGCGGTTGTCAAGATGTCTTTGAGGGCAGACGCTTGGCCAGAGAGGGCTTGTCCGGCTAAAGCTGCGGCGATCGGCGCTCTGAGCGAGGCGAAGGGCTGGCGCTATGGGAGTAGCGGGGCGAACAACACCATTCGGTTGCACAATCACTGGACATGTCCAAAGTCGAAGGCAGTGCATCGGTGGAGGAGGCAATGGAGGACATTGCTGACCTGGTTGTTGGCCGCCTGCGTGCGGCATGTTCTTTATCGGCATCCATGGGCTGAGCATCGGGATGCTGATTGGCTGGGTCACCCAAATCCATGGTGTGGAAAAGCATTACCATCATTACCACCATCAGCGGCCATCTACTGAATCATGATGAAGCTAAATAAAAAAGACCACTCGGGCACAACAAGGTTTGCCAGGCGTAACCTGCGCAAGTCTGTAAACACTGCCGCGCTGAGCACGCTTACGCCACAGAAACAGAAAACCATGTTTATGGTGTTGCAAGTGAGTCTTCCTGCCAAGTCTACCACGATACAGAACACAATGATTGAAACGCAGGGTCGGCACATAGATCTGCTTGGCACTCGCAACTAGGTGAGTGACTTTCCACACCCAGCGATCCTGAACAGGCTGTGTGTCCAGACAGAATTCTGCCCCCTTTGGTAAAACATCAAACATGCAGGGACTGACGGCACGACACAGGTAACGAAATCAGCTTTCCTTCGTGATTTGGTGGCTTACTATACACCGCCAATGAAGACGCGGTATTTTCCAAGGCCAGGCAGGAAGCTCCTCAGCCCTGTCCGTGCAAGCAGAAACCAAATGAACATGGGAGTCTTCAACTTTTCAGGACATGTGAGGAGTAATGAGTTCAATCAGCATCCGGCAAGATGTGCAAGGATATACCTTAGCCAATTTTGCGCAAGGCGTGGCCAGCTGCGTTGCCTTCCAATCGTTCATGCTGATGGTGAACACCCCGAGCCTGCATTTCATGAAAATGGGTGAAATCACATCCGTTGGAAGGTTGTGCCCACATCTCTTGCGCTACACCCAAACAAAGACGTGCGCAATGTGTGCCAGGAAACAGTTCACGAAGAAGGCGAACGTTGCAGTCTAACCACCACATCTTGCTGCCAGCGGGGTTCTCAATGATGAAGTATCTGTTGTTCTCCAACTGAAAAATGGCAACCTTAACGCAAAACAGAACCATAGGCAAACTCTTGTGTAGCTGCCACGGTTGCGGGATCCTGCAAGTTTGCCATTGGACTCCAAGCCTGGGAGTCAGGGGCTGGGGAGATAACAAAGGCTCCTGATCCGCGATGATCTGACGATCTGCCATTGTGAGCTCGAAACCGGTTCGCAAACCTACAGGCATGAAACACGCAACCCTGCTGCTGCCGCGGTTTGTGACATACGCGAGGATCCTGCAAAAAGCTCGAGAATACCTGCGCGGCCGGCCATCTGACCTTGCCAATGCGCTCTTTGATAAGGACAACATGTCGAAGGGTCAGTCGTCAATCACGTCCTTGGAAACATCTGGTCTCACATTGTCACTGTCAGATGAACCGCCAGTGCGGTAGTCTACATGACTCTCACAGTTGGCCGACCTGGCGAACAAGACAGGGCCAGAGGAATGTCAACATCGCCGAAGAAATCCTGACGTTTGTCCGTTTTCCTGACTTTGCACCATCTGAACGAATCTTGCTGGAATCTATCTGTATCGCCAGATGCAGTCTCCGTCTTGGAAACCTAAGCTTCCTAGCGAGATCACGATGGAGATCATCTGACTGTCTGGCTTCACGAAAGCGCGCAGCGCGATCAGACGTACGGCCTGAGTGACATGATCGGATGCGTGGTCTGAGGTCAGAACTGACGTGGTCCAGGTCCATTTGCGCGACTCTTCCAAAACTCATTGTGGAAAACGTGCCGCGCACGCTATGTAACTCCTGTGAAGGAAAAGTCAGGCTGAGCCACGCCAAGCGTGAGCTTGGTACTCTGCCTTGGCGTTCACACAGCTGCACGGGCCAACATCATCATACCAAGGCGGTTCGAAGACGAAGCCATCAGTGCAGCCTTCTTGGTTTTGAACAATGGACATGTCATGAACTCTCTCAATGAATTGTGCGTAATAGTCATCTTTCGCATCTGATCGGCACTGAAAGTGTGGGAAGCTTGACCATGTCGAGAATGTCCACACTGGTTGAGACCCCCTGTGGATTGAGGGTCATGACCAGTTTCTCCTTGACAACTGCTGTCTCACGGTTGGCAAACGCAAGCTGAATATGGGTAGGTTCATGTCGGAGTATCGCACGAGCACACCCGGAACCCAAGATAACTTTGTTCTATGGGTAAGCAAGCAAGATTCATCCACGTCAGCGGAATAGGAAATTGTAGGCGAATAACCCAGTTGCTTCTGCAACTGCAAGAATCAACCGCAATTCCGCCATGCGGGGGTCCCAAAGCCAACACGGGCCCCGCTACCACTTTGTAGCGCAAATGAGGCCCAAAGGATCTCTGAACACGTCCCCGCACAACCAGTAAAACAATGACGGGGTCGGCACTCTTCTCTTGTGGCGCGCAAGCTACCAAGCGCTCATATTTTTTAACTGACGCACAACAGAGCATCAATCATGCTACACTAGTGGCTAGTAATGTACAACGCTTCCTACATTGCTGAAGCGGATTGGTACACATGGATTACCGTAGCACCGCGCCCCCCCCCCAAAAAAAAAAAGCAAAGCGTCAGCGCCCAAGCTTCATGCCCTAGTACTCTGCTAAAATGCCCCCGCGCCGTCACCGTCACCTCGAACGCCCAGCCTTCAATCTCGCGAATCACTTTCCCATCTTGAACAGAAGATAGAACCCCTGAAGCTTTCCGATATCTGCAAGAAACATGTTCGACCAACAGGCGGCGCAAGCAGAGCAGCTGCTAATAAGCAAGAAAAGAAAAATGCCGCCGATCGGAAAGACCGCTAAGAACTTGAGCTGACTGAAACGGCCGCTAAGAGATTGAGCCCCTGAATTTCCTAGCGAAAAGGACCGCGGACCGAAGACGCAAATATTGTAGATGTGGGGCCCAGGCTGACAAGTACGGAACCTGTACACCAAGCGCTCTTGACATGAAAGGGTTCTGCAATAGCGCCCATTTCGCTACATTGTTCACAGTGAACAACCTTGTCGCCAAGAATTTCAGCGGCTCAGTTTCTGGGCGGGCTTTTCGGTCGGCCTTTTCGCTAAGAAATTCTTAGCGCCTCTTTGCTGCGTGTGTAAAAAAAAGCAGCGCGCAACATGGTGAATTGCTCCGCGGGATGAGCAGCGCAACAGAACAGCCAAGTCAAGACAAGGCTAATAATCAATTGGCAAAAAACTCCAGCCCCCCTGGCTCCAGACGTGTAGCGACCAGCTCTTGTACAGACAAAATGGGCGCTAAGAAAAACCAGCGCTCGGGGCTACATACCCTTTGAAATCCTCTTGCCTGCAACATGTGTAGCTTGGGGATCCTGGTGCCACTATCATACTACCAACCTTTCTCGACATCTCTCGCAATGCCCAGGCTGGTTGTTCTGGCGCGCGCAGTCGTTGATGCCTGCTGCTCTCTAATCAAGCAGAAGTTTGATATCAATGCAGTCATGCTTCTGTTTGTGCACGCTGCAACGCGCAAACCCAATGACCGCAAGCAGTAGCAATGTGTTCAACTAACTTTCAGCTCCCAACCGCAGTTCTTCTTGAACGTGGGAAACAAGTTTCGCTGTTTGGCAGCAGTGCTTGGCACTGGGGGTGTCATTGCCTCATTTTGGCGCCTTGACACTGCCACTGTTGTCAAGCTGCTACTTTGGTGCGGAAGAGACAGTGCCACGCGCAGGCCACACGTTCGTCCAAATCTAGGTAGGAACAAACTCAGTTCAAATCTCTGCTGCTTGTCCAATGAGCCCAGGCGCATGGTCAACCAACGACGCCAGAAACTCCAGAGACTACATTGGTCGACTACAGCAGCCCCTTTACCGCCAAGAAAAGCCAGATGGGAACAACCCCGTGTAAAGTTCGATGCGCAGGCTGCGCAAACGCGCGTTGATTGGGCACAAAATGAGCACCTGTAACGTTCGGCAGAAAGCCATTAAACCCTAGCTATAGTGGGGCGTTTCAGAACAACTCGCAAACCGTCGCAGCTTTCACCGTCTGAACCCCAGACCGCAAGCGCCAGCTGCATGTTGCGGGGTTGCTGTGCAACCCAAACAGGACATCTTGACCCGGCCTCAATCTCCGCAGTCCTCTCATGCCACTTCTCCTTTGCCACCTGTCATTGAGGCTGGATGAGTCCACTCCAACTCACAAATAGTTGCCAAAAAGAAAATGACTATAGCATGACCCAGAGAAGCCAATGTGGATTCGACAGCTCTGCCCCGCTGCATCTTACCAAGCAAAACCATGACAGCTCGCAACAGAGATGGTGCAGTGATGCGGCACAGGCAGGCTAACGCAAAGAGGCGAGACAAAATGCACAAGGCATGAGGACCGGTGTCGGAGATCAAATGCTGCGGTACAAAGGATACTGCAGTGAAGTTGGATGAACATGAATCAACAACATCTTGCCAGTCCCGGCGGCATACGTCTATTTTCCCCCTGCTCACATCTGGGCACGTCTTTGCTTTGCAAACGGCTACTGCCCCAAGCCACCGCGCCACATTCTGAAACAATGTCACACTGCCAGGGCGGTTGATACTCGACATGGCAGCTCGCCCTGTAGCAGCGCGCAATGCACTGCTGGCATCGCGCTTTTGTCTAATGCTAGTTCCTAGTCTAGACATAACTGAACCGCCAGGCTCCTTCCTCAGTGAATTGTTTTACCTCGGCCTCTAACACTGCACGATTTGCTAAGATGCGCATGACCTCCTCAGTCCCACGGTCGGAGTCGGCGTAGAGCCAAACCAAGCAAACAAAAGCAAGGACCTTCCGGCAAGAGTTGCAACCCTCTGGCACGCCGAAACATGGGAGGGATCCGCGGGTGCTCCAAGGAAAGCTCAAAGGACTCCATGCAGGGCTGAAATGCCCGCACGTTCATTGCATGAATGCCTCCACTGTCAATGTCGTCAGAACCATTCGCTGAAGCCGTAGGTAGGCGAGCCCGTTCATACAGTGACAAACGCGAATTTGAAGTTGCTCAATAGTTAGCCTGGGCCAGCCATAGGCAAATTCGCTGTCGCAAATCTTTCGCAACTCCATCGCCACTCCCTTTTGGTTGGCACTTCGGCTATGGGCCACGTAAGCGCAGTGCCCGCGCTGGCTGACTGCAAATCTCTTCGCATTTGCGGTCTCTTGTTCTTGCCTGCCATGCAGCAACGCGAATGAAAGCAACCGCTATTGCTGGCCAATTGCACTCGTGCTTGCCGTGGCAACAAACTCGAGAGGCCTTTTCTGATCTTTCTCGAAACTTGCCCCAAAAAGGCGAAGGCCAGCCCTACAGTTGTTACACCACTCCCGGCGTGGGCAGGGAATCAAGGATGCAAGCGAAAACCTTGCAAGTACGCACGCATGCAACCTGCCTTCGCGGATGATTTGCGCGCAAACGGCGCTTCCAATGGATCAAAGGTCCTTACAGGAACCTGTTGATCCACTCCAGATCAAGAAGCATGCAACTGTAAAATGCGACTCCGGGCGCTGGTAAGCAGAAGGGTGTCAAGTCGGTAAGGCATCAATCTTTGACACTTCCCAACTTGAGTTGTAAGCCCCCTCTTGAAATGTTGGTGAATCTGCACGGAACCCCGAAGCACTCGACCATTTGAAGCGAACTTAGGTTGACGGGGCCTTCTCGAGCATCTTTCGGGCGATGCCCCACTTGCAGTGGTCCTGCCAATAAAGCGGCCCTCTTCACATGCGGGGCGCATTCCGAAAAGTGACCGTGTCTTTAGCTGTCAAAAAAATAGCACATGTCGTTTGATGTCCTCTGGAACAATATGCATGGACCGAAACAGCTTCTTGCCATACTAGCTGAATGAAAGACCTCTGCACATTTGGCCGCTTTGAAGGGTGGCAATACTTGGATATAGCCAAACAGAACTAAGCCATCTTGAGAGCAAGGCCACAAACCCCACTCCTTTCTTGAAGAAACGCTCGAATACGCTGCTTGATGGCTTAGCTGCATTCAACATGCATGAATGCCCGACATAAGCGGAGTGCTTGCTGCACGCGCCCTAGCATCGATCGAGCAAATTGCGAACACATCATCGCTTGTTTGGTGCCGGTTGGTGGCCTTTTGTAATTTGGTTCTTCAAAGGGACCACTACACTTTCCGCTAAAACCGAATATGGAAAAGGCAGGTCTGCCGCGCGTCAAGTGGAACTTGCAACCACCAGTCAAAGTGACAACGTCAGCTTGCCCCTTCCTGCAGGGTCCGCTTGCCCTTCTCTATCAAATGCCAATCCGTGTCCATGTACACGTTGTCACCTCAGCAACTAAAAGCTGTGGGCCACCTCAACTTCTGAAATGGGCAGGGCGCGGTTAGACGCATGAACATGACAGAATTGCAAATCCATGGGTGCAATACATCTAGAAGGACACATACATATATAAATGTATACTCACCGGCAAAGCGCTTTCAAGTTTCAGAAGCTGAAAGCGCCGCTGTGAAAACACTGAACTCAAAAGACATGCAGTGTTTTCAGCCTTCTTGCACCTACTTACTCTCCACAACTTCACGAAGAACAGTTTGGACTTTTCCCTTCTAAAGCCTGTGACAACTATGGAACGATTTTCAGCACTCGGCAGCACAAGCTAGTTTTGCGATCCACAAAAGAGCCTGGGCTCTATGGTTGGTGATTCTGAGGATGCTGAGCAGCTCGGGGAAAAGCTTTTCTGCTGAGGCACTGGTGATGCTGAGCTGTCTAACTATTGCGGTCTTTCGTCAAAACCCTCAGCAGCTGGAGTCTGGCTCATCTTTTTTCCTCCAGCCGAAGCAAGTTTCAGCTTCTTCCTTGCCAGTCCTGGTGGTCAGGTTGTTTGACGCTGAAGCGTCAGTCCCTGCAGGCAACAAAAGCCTCGTCTGAAGTCTGGCAAGTCAAGAAAGTTAAATCATCACTCATGTTCTGTTGTGCCCCGAGGGTCGCAATTCGCAACGTGACGAATGCCGTTGCCTCGGAGCAACTGACCCTGACTTAAGCGCTGGTGATCCTCAGGGTGTTGCGCAAGCAACAGGAAGTATAGGTAAACAGGCCCTTTCCTCGCTAAGAACTGTGTGCTGTCTATGAAGGAAAATTTTTGCCTGCGCAGTCCACAAGTGCCAACTGCATCAATCATCTTGTCTCGGGGTTGCAGACTTGACTGTTGCAGACGTGCCAAGAATCCGCCTTGAACAAACAGGCCGGGATGTCAAAGCAATTTGGATAAAATGCCCTGCACATTTGCAAGGGAAATGCCGTAAGAACGAACAACCCAGGGTTTGCAGGACCAATGCTGCGCAGCACGCTACGAGACAACTTTGTGATAACAGACGATGTGCCAAACATGCCTACGAAAGGGATGACTAAGCCGAAGCAAACACTGCCAAACATTTGTAAATATGAGCCGCCGCGAGGGTTGCCAGTGTTCGGAAAAACTCCCGCAAAAAAAGAGAGCGTAAATGCAGCAAGCATGCTAGTGTTGAAGAGAACCAAGCTTTGCAACGTGACAAGAGCCTACGCCAGCAGTCCCGCAGTGACACTTCCAGATCTTTGCTTCGGACTTGCTTTGGCGACCCTGCGCGGGGCCAAGGTTGGCGGGGGCAAGTATAGCGACGATTGAAACAACTTCAAATTAGAAATTGCATGTTTTTGCGAAACCTCACCTATATAAGGCTGCCGCTGTGAAAGATTCCCAGCAAAATTGTCCAAGGAGCTCTTGGCTCCGAAGCTACATGTGACACTTGGTGGCCACCCGCTTGATTGCTCGGCTGGGAGCGGCGTGTTTTATCCGGTTGCAACCCAAGAGCTAAAATGGGGCCCCAATCAGGCTTGAAAGCACCAGCCGTCACACCGCAGAGGGCACAACAAACGTTCAAGAACCAAGACACTTGCAACGTTGGCACACTACAGCCATCTCGAATACTTTGCATGACCTGTGCAACCCCGACCGCCAAGTGGCCAAGATGCAGGAAGTAGTCCACCTGCAACCCCTGCTCCATGCGATGTTTCAGATCGACCCAAAGGTCGGCGCCTCCGAATGACGACGATCACCCCTCTCGGCTCAAGAACGGTAATCTTTCTAATTGTACTCTTCCAAGCGGTCCCCCAATAAGCCGAAAGCCCTGCGAAAGTGCACAAGTCTTGCTACCCTTTCTTCGAAAAGGCACCTCCTTCTAGATGTTCTTTCCCGGGGCTTGACATGGCCAAGCGCTTGCGCAGCTTGCTTTACGCCTGCCAGGCTTTTACGTCACTGCCGAGCTTTTTCAGGCTGTTGTTCAGCTGAAAGAAAACCAGCCTACAGGTTCGGTTCAACTGACCGCCAAGCAAGCTGTGCGCACAGCGCTTTTTACCTTGAGCCAGGCATAGCAAGCTTCACAAGCTACGCAAGTGAGACCTTCCACGCGTTCGGGGTTAAACTGTCTACGCAAACTTTGAGCACACAAATCCGAGCCGCATCGTCGGAAGGTTGCCGCAAATTGCCGCAAACTGGTCGGGTTTGAGGAAGTGACAGCCATGATGCGCAAAAATGCGGTGGGTGATCACGCAAGCGCGGGGTACTTCGCAGCGGCCACGGAGCCAGTCATCGTATCCCGCGCGCGCAAACCTTCTCGAGCTGTCCACTCGCAGCTCGATTGCCCCTCGCCTCTTTGCGTCGGGTCCAAAACTGCGCCAACTTCTCCGTGGTCGAGGGCAACAGCCCGGACGAGCTTCAGGAAAAGCGCAGAGTTTCATGATGCCGCGTCGGTGGCACTCACGGCCAGGGGCCCGTGCAATCTCAGCAAATCGCCAATTAGTGGCTTCGCCCGGCTGGGATTTCGGACGTCGAACATACCACTCCGGCCGCCGGCTCTCCTTAGCCTGCCGATGCACGGCGCGGCTCGGCTTCAAAGGTGGGACCAGGTCCACGGAAAACTTCTGAGAACAAAAGCCGTTAGTTAGTCTTAGACTGAGACCAACCGGTTTTAAGAAAATCCCAGCATTCAATCAGGGTGCCTTGTGGCCTGGAACAGGCAGGTTGGTTGGTGTGCCCGCTCGTCCAATCAATGCGTTGGGTGCTTCCCCTGTCCGTGGAAAGTGCGACGGCACTGCCATACTGAGGCCTGGTCGTTAAAGCGTGCGCTGGCCAGCTGAGACGATGGTTGTTTACATTGTAAAACGTTCTGTGTTGTTTTTGCAAAACACTGCTGGACGCATGCCTTCCTCGGTTGCCGGAACTCAATGGCTGGCTGCTTTGCCGGCGCTGAAAGAAGTTGGTTGCCGGGGGACCTGGCGCCCTTGCCGGGACCCACATGTCTCGCGGACACCCTGGAAGAACTTGCTTGCCGGAACTGGGTGCTGGGACCCAGCGCTTTGCTTGCCGAGGGCCCTGGAAGAACTCGCTTGCCGGAAACGTGCGCCTGGCTTTCTGGGACCCAGCGCCAAGAACTGGTCGCCGAGACCCGGTTGCCTTGACCCGGCGCTGTGGGCGAGGGGCTTAACACTTGGCCCTGCAACCTGTTATCTGTTTGGCTTGTCAACTCTTGCACATTCAAAGTGTTGAATGGGATCCACTTGTTTTTGAAAAGGTTCGCTGTCCAGAAGCAAGCAAGACTGCCAAGTAGTAGAGCAATGTCGCCAGACAGATCCGGTCTGTAATCCTTGTAATGTGTTTTGGGTGTTCAAAGGTTTCACAAACAGACATGGCGCGCCTTGCGCCTGACGGGAAAGCGGCATGTGTTGCGCCGTTTGTATTGAACTTGCGCCCTTGACGGGCACAGGTGGTGCCAGTTTGGCTACCAACTCCATCGCAGTTGGTTAAAAGCCTACAGGCTTGGCGTCAAGAGAAATGAGCGATGTGAGTCCTAATCTCTCGCATCATGCTCTTCACCAAGAGTTAACCGTTGGACGAGTGAAGAGCGAGTCTATCCTTCATCCTTGTAGTATTTCTTCATCTCTCCAACCTTGAATCGCTTCTGGTCATCTTTGTCCTTGCTTTCTATCTTCTGGAAATTACATTACGCATTTCCGCAAGATAGAAAGCTAAGGAAAAAGGTGACCAGAAGCAAGGGTGCGGCTCGGCTTACGTGAAAGAAGGGGGATTGACATGCGGGCTTGCTGGGTGTGTTCCCTAAATGCGAAGCAAGTAGGGACATGTCGTGGTTAGGAAATCCTTGGTAAACAGGGAGCGACTGGGGACGAGTTGTTGGAGGGGGCCTCCTGCATGGCCTCGTTTTGCATTTCCATCTCTGACCCTCAGGAGGCAAAGCTTGAAGGAGATCCGAGCCCAGGTGGGAGAAAGGGGGTAAACCTCGGCTGACTCTCATCCAAGCTGACGGCAATGTGCGCGAGGGCGCCACATATTGCAGACAGCAGTCCCACGGTTCCTGGCCAGAGCGGTTTTTCTTGTGCTGCGTGCCTCTGTGGGCGTGTGTGTGTGTGTGTGTTCCTGTGTTGCTTGTGTGTTTTCTGAAAAGTTCGTGGACACCACCATGGAAAGGGCTTCACGAACCAATCATGTTCAGCCATCAGCCGCCATCCACAAGAACATAAACTTGCAGATGTCTCAAAGTGTATTTTTGTGTGTGTTACTTGCCGTTTGCGGATCTCGTCCTGTCAGGGGCGCCTACCCAATTGAAGGCACTTGTGGAGGTTTCCCGCCATGTTCAATGACTGGCCAACCAAATCAAACGTGTTTCCGCAAGAGGTCTCACAATGCTGCTGATCGTATATTGCGCAAGCGCCAAGCTCGTTCGGATTGTGGAGAGTTGCATCACTTCCTACAATATGACTATTGCGTTAGCTTTGTCAAATGTCCACAGCTGATGCACAAGCAAGGTCAATTGTGTCAAACAACATGTAGAACCGCCTGAAACAGCTAGATTTCCTCGGCCCACATGGCGAAGATTACGTTTGTGCAATCTGCAGAACCCGCGCGACAAGTGTTGAATGGCTGCGAGCATGTGTAGCAGCCCCAATGCTGTCATGAGTGAGCTAAACGTTAAACGCACAAACGCAGCTCAGGTGTTTTGTCACTTGTCTGCGTTTTTTCAGGCAGTGGCCAACGCTGTTTGAAGCATGCTGGGGGTTGCCGTTCACTGTGATTTGTAATCATCGCAGGCTCACGAGTGAGTGTGTTGTGTTATGGAGGTTGTGCCGCGAGCGTGTCCACCGTAAATTTGCCCAGCTTTCCACTCACACACACACAAGGTCAAGTCTGGCAAGGACTGGCCATCTTGGTAATTGGTGGTGAGGGCAATAACAAATTCCCGGCAATGCTTTCAAAATACCACAGGAATCGGGGCACAGCCTCCGACTAACCCGCAAAGCCAGAAAACGGCCAGCGTGCTGAGGCGTGCGGCCATTTCCAAACACGCCGTTGCTAGCACACGCTTCCTCATAGTTTAACCCGCCCCAGCAGAACTGCCGCTACCAGCATGTGATCGATTGAGCGCTTTGTTGATCAGTCTTGAACGGCATTGCCTAGTGGTGACTTTGCTCACTTGTCCCAACTGCGCGTGGCCAAGTGACAAGAGGTCATGAACCTGCCAGCTTGCAAGTGTTGCGGCCCCATGATACAGGTCCATAGCCATCTGACAAGGCAGAAAAATATGACACAAGGTAACATGCAAATTACAACGCGATGTTTCGGTCGACTAAGCCGGAACTGCAAGGCTTGCTACAATCAGTTCGAACGCTTGTGGCAAACAAGACGACGACTGCAGGGACGACCCGATGCGCAGCTTCATGACAGGGTTGTCATCGCTCTTTTGTATTCTCAGCCATGCTATTTTGTCATGCTGGATGCCTTGTGGGTTTTCAAAAAACGCGACCTGCGTAAGCTGACAAAGCATTCCTCAATTGCCCCTGAGATTGGCGGCATTCCCCTCGCTTTGCGCGGGAAATGGCCTTGTTCGCACCGTCAGCCCGGCCCCATGACCTGAACCTCTGCTTAGCCCCAGCAAACAGTTCTCAATTTTGGCAGACACGCGGGAAACTTGGTCTTCAACACGTTGGCTGTTCACAGCGTTGGGCAAAGACCATGACTTGTCGGCCAATGTTTTTCTTGACACGCCCCATAACGCAGGACTGAGTTGAGCATCTGCACTGAATGGATGGCGCGCCATGGAACTGGCGCCGTCACAAGTCACAAGACTTCGCGCGCAAACCGCTCTAGGCTTTGAACGAGTTCATAAAACAAACCAACAACCTTGCGCTGCGGTGTCAAAAAAAGCTGTCTTGCTCATCGTGCAACATGTCAGCGTGTCTTTCTGGGATTGGGGAAAAAGGCTTGATCTGTCATGTTTTTGCTTTCTTGCAATTGAAACCATGGATGATAGGTTGGTTGCAAGGCAAGCGTTGTTGGTGGTCCTGGTTTTGTGTTGCATGACTGGGCGCTCGTCAAGCCAAGCCGGCATGCCTTGGCTCGAAGCAGGGCGTTGCCAGCGGTTGCGTACTGGCCCTGATGGCCGGCAAAGGCTCCATTGGACAAATGTGACAAGGCATCTGAGTCGCCGTTGCTACTACATGGCAAGGGCTGTCCTCTTCTCACTGTTGGGAGAAAGGCGTGCGAAGCTGCAGTTTTTTCAGCGGCCTATGGCTGGGTCGAGTTGTTAAACAGCGGGTCAGCCGTGTGGAGGTCATGCCCCACAAGAAGCATGACACGTGCGCCATCTGTGTTGAAGGCGGTAGCTTTTTGCTGAAGAAGTTCGCACAATTCCTTGTCAAACAGCTGCTGCTGTCTTTCGTCATGTCTTCGGTCAACTTGGTGGTTCGCCGGGCTGTTTCCATAAATGGCCTTTGCTGAGCTGCAAATCCTTGTCCACAGCTGCAGAATGCGTTGTGAGTCTTTCACCTTTGGTATCAGCATGCGTCACAATGACTTCTGCTTGGCGCGAATTCGAAGCTGTTCTCGAATGGCCTCCCCAAGGCAAGATTGCACACAGCAAAACTGCTTGCGACGTTCAGCTGGCCTTCGAATGCTGCCTTGTCGCCTGTGAGTCAAAGCTGCACGCCCAGCGCGTCCGAATTCCAGATGTAATCCTTGCCAGCAATGCGTCAAAGCCAGCGCAGCCTCCCGGCGCCTTTGGGCTTGACGCACGTTTAAACACATGTTGGCAGACTGTGTTTTGAGTAGTAGTCAGTGTTTCGATAAATGAGAAGGGGGTTTTGGGTTTGTCTAAAGGCGATTTTATGCCAGGATTTTGGTCCGGGTTCATGGTGCAAAGGCTTCTCCTGCTAACAGCTTTTCGAAGACAACGTGAAGAAAGAGCCTACCGTGTTGGCAAAAGCAGCGCAGGTACAAGCCCTGCGACACGGCAGCACAGAGGCGCATGATGCGTCGGATTTCTTATCCTTTCTCAGCGGGGCAACTGGTGCGGAGAACGGGCTGCTGACTGCAATGCCAGTGGACGCGTTCAGCATTTCTATGTGTTTGCTCCGGCTCTTTGACAAGGATTCCCGCGATGCTGCAGAGTTGCCACAGCATTTGAACAGTTTTGTCCGGAAATTGGACGTAGGTTTTTGCAAGAGACGGAGCCATGTTTTACAACTCGCATGTTCCAGCTCTGGAAGAAGCCACAGGTGTTGTTGCGATCATGGGTGGGCAACCCACTACACAAGACATCAAGAACACATTCGTCAGCAATTTGAACGTATGTGTGGTCCTGGCCATTCAAACAGTGCGAGCCGAGTTTCCTTCCCTTGAACCATTGCAAGCCTTTTCTGCGTTTGCCTTGCGGAACAAAGGGGAAGCAAGCGAGAACCTCAACGTCAGGTTGTCGCGGCTGGCATCGATTTGCCGGGCAAACCCAGCTAAGCTGCAAGCGCAATACTTCAAGGTCTTGCCAGCTGCCACTGTCGCCTTTGAGAAATCAAAGGCAGCAGAGAAAGCAAAGGCGCCCCTTCAAGTTTCAATTTCTGGGAAGAAGCATTGACCGGCGGTTGCGCCCCGCAACATGATGAATTGCGAGCTGCAGTTGCCAGACTTGGTGCCTCCACAGGCTGCACAACTTCCGCCAGTGAGCAGGACCCACATGAGCAAACAGAGCTAAGCGAGATTTTCATTGCCAGCAGCAGACGAACCTCCGAAACTACAACTGCAGTGGCCAGAGATATTTGGAAGCTGGTGTGCGCGCGGCCACGCCAGCGCAAAGGGTAACGATCAGACTCGGGTCAGCTAAAGTTGAAGAGGTTGAACACAGGTGTGCTTGTATTGCAAAACAAAAGCCGAGAATCGGTTTCCAACTTGGCAAGCCAGAGTGGTTCTAGCAACTTGGCGATCGCCTCCACGCGTGCCACTAAGGAGTGTCAAAACGTTTGGAGTTACACACGCGTGCTGCTGAACGAGTTACTGGCCAAGAAGCGGCAAGAGGCCTTGATGCAATTTGTGATTGCCACCGTCCCAGTCAAGACTTCGGCAGTTGACAAAGCGGGCGCGAAGCAACTGAAGAATGGCCGTGCCAAGGATGAAACCAAGTGCAGGGAAGCGCTGACGCACACGTCCCGATCAACGCAATGCGCGAGAGTTATGATGCGTCTGTTCAACCAGCCTACAGAGCCATTTGCAAACAGCGTTTGCGGAAACCTTGAAAAGATGGCCGGGATGTGCGGGTGAGTGAGGAGGCCTCAATTACAGGCGTCAAACTCAATCAACGCGCTTATTGTTTTTCTGGGGGCGCGCTTTCTGTTTTCAACCAAGTGTTTGGGGAAAAGCGAGCCGAACGATGAACCACAGGCCACTCACTGACAAAAGCTTTGGCTTCAAAAGAGGGGCAACAAAATTCATGGGACACTCATGTCCAGAATTAAATTCGGTGGAACCCGCGGCCTGTCCGTTGTCTGTTCTCCGCAAGCCGGGTTGACCTTGATTCGGCCTTTTTTGTGTTTGTACCACCGCGGAGGCTCGTGCTCTCCAAAAATCCAGGCCTAGACTTTGTTGCACTTTTCCTGGAGGACTCTCGTATCACCCACATGATGCTTTTGCAGCCAGTCTTCCTGCAGGATGCTGTTGGTTCTTCTTTGGTAGCAATTGGCGAGTTTGGATGGTAACCTTGCGCAAGGGGTCCTGATCAGATCCAATAGGTGGAGCCTCCCAGTTTGTTGGGGTCGAAGTGATCGGGACGCTTGCCCTCCTGAATTTCGTTTAACTAGTTCATACTGCGAACTGCCATCATTCGCCAAACAGTCAGGCCGGAGAGCGGCGCAAAGCTGGAGATCGAGAACAAGTTCCGCAAATCCAAGATGGCACGCGTTGGCCTGCGGTGGCCTACGGTGCGCCCACCTCCCACGCTGCGTGAGGCAGTTCCGTTCGCTGCTTTGCGCCCTTGCTCTCAGCACCTGGCAAAAGCAAGCTGGCGGGGACCGGCAGCGAACTCTGGCCATGACACTCATGTGAGCCACCAAGCCCTCGTGCCGCAGAAGCGTCTCACAGCCCGCATCCATGTGTTTGGCGAAGCGGCTGATAAACTGGAGCCTTGCTCAACAACCACAAGCGTTGACCAGCCAGCTAGCTGCGCGCGCAGCGCTGTTGCCTTGAGCCAGGCGTGGCTGCTTTTACGCTAGTGGGACTTTTCATGGATTTGGGGGAAAAACGGCGCATGATGGAAAGTGGCGTCTGAGCGAGGGCAGGCGTGGGCAGGAAGGGTCATTTCAGGGGCAAGTCCAAGTGCTCAGGCCGAAACAAACCCTGAGGACGGACCGCAAAGGCCTCGAAGCTTCCAAGTCTCGTAGATGCAGTTGCAGCTGGCAACCGCAAAGCAGGGTTGGGCTCCAGCAGCTAGCCTCGTGCCAGTTTCAAGACTGCAAGGCTTGGCTTGCTGATGGCGCGCAACCCCGAAACAGAGAAAATCGGAATCTCCACGCACGGGCTCAAGCCTCGTGTTATCTACCAAAATCCACCGCGATCTTTAGAGGGCGCAAACGCCTGCAACACTATGGTTCTTTGCGTCGGTTCTCCTCTCAACTTTGACAAAAAAGTGTAGAAAGGCTCGCTGCGCAGCTTGAATCGCAATAGTTTTTTGAGACCCCGGAACGCATCACAAAAAACGCGCTGCCTTGCCAAGACCAACACACTCAACTGGGTGTCTCTCGCCCCAGGCTTTCAGCAACGTATGAAATTGTATTTCTTCGACGGTGACCGGACGGGCAGGCTTGAGAACAGGGTGTGGTTGCGTGCTTCGGGAGTATGATTCTGGGGCATGATTCGCTGTAGGAGTGATAGGAGCAGTAGGAGTAGTAGTAGCAGCAGCAGCAATAGTAGTAGTAGCAGTAGTAGGTAGTTGTTAGTAGTACTAGTAAAAGTAGTAGCTGTAGTAGTAGTAGTAGTAGTAGTAGTCGTAGAAGCAGCGGTGGTAGTAATAGTATTAGGTAGTTTGTAGTCGTAGTAGCAGTAGTAGTAGTAGTCGTAGTCGTAGTAGTAGTAGTAGGAGTACTACTACTACTACTACTACTACTACTACTACTACTACTACTACTACTACTTCTACTACTACTACTACTACTACTACTACTACCACCACTACTACTACGGTCCGTCAGTGTGGTAAGAAATTCATGAGGCAAAATTTTGACCCTCAAATGGTTTAGAAATATATTGCTTGAAGAAGTGTTTTTCTTTGGTGGTCGTGCGATAAAAGCATGGAAGCCGTGGGGAACCTGCGCACCATCATGAGCCTTTTTCACTCTCCATTCCAGATTGGACACGCTGGTACGGCCTAGTTTAGCAAGCGTCCTGCTGCTGCTTTGCGCCTTCCCGAGCAGCCAGGATGAGTTGAAAGCCAATGTCACAGCGCCAGCGTCGACGCATGTGAGACTTGCTGCAGCCAGCCTGAAGCAGAGCACGCTCAACTTTGCTAAGCGAAAGGGCGGGGCCAGTGAGTGGAGAATGAGGCAATGCTGCAATGCGATTGCCGCATGCTAGAAATGGGTTGCTTAGATGTTTGTTTGGCGCGTGTAAGTGTTGTTTAAGAATTTAAGTTGTTGAGTAGAGTAGTGCCTGGATACGTGGCACGACGCAGTGTACACAAGCAACATCACACCTGTGTGCGTCACAACATTCTTGCATCACCTTTGTCACACGCTTTTAGACAGCCGCCAAACGCTGCCCCTGCCACCCAAACACACGAGTCAACCAGTCAGTGAGTCAGTGAGTGACTGAAGGAAAAGTGAAAGAGAGTGAGTGGAGCGGAGTACTGCAGTGGAGTTGAGTTGAGTTGGGTGGAGTGGAGTGGAGCGGGTGGAGTGGAGTGGAGTGGAGTGGAGTGGAGTGGAGTGGAGTGGAGTGGAGTGGAGTGGAGTGGAGTGGAGTGGAGTGGAGTGGAGTGGAGTGGAGTGGAGTGGAGTGGAGTGGAGTGGAGTGGAGTGGAGTGTGGAGTGGACTGGAGTGGAGTGGAAGTGGAGTGGAGTCGAGTGGAGTGGTATGGAATGGAGTGGTAGGGAATGGAGTGAGTGGAGTGGAGTGGAGTGGAGTTGAGTGGAGTGGAGTGGAGTGGAGTGGGGAGTGGAGTGGAGTGTGGAGTGGAGTGGAGTGGAGTGGAGCGGAGTGTGGAGTGGAGTGGAGTGGACTGGAGTGGAGCGGGGTGGAGTGGAGTGGAGAGTGGGGTGAGAGTGGGGTGGAGGGAGTGAGCGAGTCAGTGAGCAATGAGCAAGGCGAGGCGAGGTGACGTGAGGTGACGGAGGTGAGGGAGGTGAGGTGAGTGAGTGACGGGAGGTGGGTGGAGCGTGGCAAAAGCAAGAACCCCACACAAACATGTAAGAATCCCCGCTGGAACTTCCAGCATAGCTACTTACACCTGAGTTTTAACTGGGCATCACTTTGAGGGTGGCCCGTGGAAACCCTTTAAAACGCGCTCTGCGCTTGCGCGACGCGTGGGAGCCTGCCAGGAGACTGCGCGGGTGCATTTTCCCGGCCCAGAAAAACACATCTGCACTCGGCACAGGGTGCGGGAAGACTGCGGGAAGATGCCGGGGGGCCACGAGATGCGGGGGGTCCATACGCCTGTCCCGTAGTAGTCCACGCAATTTTAACAACTTGGCACTTAAACCTACCAGTTCAAGTAATTCAAAACAAGTTTACATCTAGCAAGATTAGAAAACCGGACTGGATTGACACCGCCGTTTCTTATCCCCCATCAAGCGTTGAAGCTGTCAAAACACGCGGATGTCTTTAAACACCGGCCGGCCGTAGCAGTAGTAGTAGTAGTAGTAGTAGTAGTAGTAGTAGTAGTAGTAGTAGTAGTAGTAGTAGTAGTAGTACTAGTAGTAGTAGTAGTAGTAGTAGTAGCAGGAGAAGAAGTAGTAGTAGAAGTAGAAGAAGTAGTGGTAGTAGTGGTAGTAGTAGTAGTGGTAGTGGTAGCAGTAGCAGTAGTAGTAGTAGTAGTAGTTGCTGTTGTTGTTGTTGCAGTAGTGGTAGTTGTTGCTGTAGTAGTAGAAGCAGTAGACTGAGGTAGTAGCAGCCAGCCGCCGCAGCAGCCGCAGCAGCGGGAGCAAATTGTACCGGTGCGATGCGGGTGTGATTCGCGGGTATGAGTTGGGTAGCGCCAAAGCGGAAGCTTGTTTACAAACTGACAATGATGGTTGTAGTAGCAGTCGTAGAAGTAGTAGTACTAGTCGCCGTAGTAGTAGTAGCAGTGGTAGTAGCAGCAGCAGCAGCCGTAGTAGTTGTTGCGGTAGTAGTAGTAGGAGTAGTAGTGGTAGTAGTAGTAGTAGTAGTAGTAGTAGTCATCGTAGAAGCATTAGTAATCGCAGAAGTAGTAGAGGTAGTAGTAGTAGCTGTGGCAGTGGTGGTAGTCATGGTAGCAAGGTCCCACCTTCTGTCTTTGAAGGAACTCAACTCAACAAACAGGAAGTATATGCGCGTCTCGCATTTCTGGCCTATCTGGCACGCGCCTCATTGCAAATGTCGCTTGCTGCGAATGGCGCCCCCCTCCCCCCCGGAGACACCTCCCCCCCACGGAAAAAAGGGAGGGGCAGCCCTGAGTGAGATCACGGGCAACAAAAAGACTGTGTCATTTCAAAAAAACTGTGCGCTCCGAGTAGCGTGTAGATAACCCTGTGAAGTTGGCTTACGAGCTTCCCAGGGAGCGGCAGCGGCCGCCAACATTCTGTACGAAGCCGTTTGCCACTTAGCCACCGTTTGTCACGCATGCGGCGTTTGTTAACCTGCGGAACTCTCTGTTTTGGAGCACATCACCCATGCGTCGCTTGGCTGCTGAAATGTATTTTTCACAACTGCTGTCACGGCGGAGACCGGGCAGGAAGCTTTTCCTGGCGAGGACTGCTCCGACTTTCGGCTTTCTCAGAGGCAAGCGCGCTAACGATGAGGTCAACACGTGTTGTGTCCCCTGACGGAGAAGGTGTTGGTTACAGCGTCGGATAGCCAAAGGTTGCTTGAGATCATGGGCAGCCGAAAGAATGCGTCATTTTGAGCAGCGCTGAAACAACCTTGTTTGTTGGCTTGCGAGCTCCTCAGGTCTATGGACCCCCAGCATGATTTGGCTGGCAAATTTGGATCCTTTGTTTTAAGCACCAACTGCTTGGAAACTTCCGCCTGGCCACCGCAACACCCAACCAAAGGAACGATCTTCATCTAAGGAAGGAAAACTTGGAGGTGGAGGAGCTGACGCGCCGCTACAACCTGAAGGCTGTTTGTCTCACACAGCAGCGGAAGGCAAAACGGTGTTTCAGAGAATCGGGCGACAGCCATTTGTGCTAGTTTTCCCTTCTGCTGTTCAAGGAATCCCCCAGAATAGGCCCTGACAGAGCCTTTCACTACCTTAGACAACGGCAACAGCAGCCATTACCTGCCAACACAAGATGTGACCATCGCCCAAGGCAAAACAGACACAGAGAAAGAGACAGGGACACACCCAGAGAAAGCGTCGGCGAACTAGGTCATGTGTGCCCAGTGTCCCCCCCTGCTAAAAACACTTGCTCAGAGCTCCTCAGAACTCATAAGGCTTCCAGTGGCTTGCCGCAAGCTCAAGGGCTGAGTAACGGTCTTAAAGCCAAAACACGGGTGTTGCCCAACACTTTCTGTTTTGCGCGTTGGCTCCCTAGCCCCTGATTTTTCACGTCACCTACCACTGGACCATGGCACCCCCAGACCTAGGACTCTTTCGTGACTCAGCTGCGCACGCCAGAAGCGACTCATCTGCGCACATGCGCCCCCAAAGTGCTGCGCCTGCCACCAAATCCAGGTCCAGAAGCGAGCTTTGGGGAACAACCGGGAAGCTCCGCGCAAAGACCGGGAACGCCTGCGCAAGACTGGAAAAGTTTCAGCGAAAGACAGAACCAGGTTAGGGCTTGTTTAGGACGGTTGGTTTAGGGTTGGTTTGGGGCTGGCTTCGGATGGTTTGGGGTTGGTTTGGGGTTGGCTTTTAAGCGGCTTGGGGGTGCTTTCAGGCTGGTTTGCTCAGGGTTGGCTTCAGGTTGGGCTTCGGGTTGGCTTAGGGTGGTTTAGGGGTGGCTTAGGGTTGGTTTAGGGCGGGTTTAGGGTCGGCTTCGGGTTTGTTTAGGGCTGGTGTAGGGCAGGTTTATGTTGGGAACGCGCGCACCAGACTGGAAAGTCGAACGCTCTAGGCAAAGACGCAAAGACAAACAGAAATGGTCTGGCGAGCAACCGGGGACGCAGGGTTGATTTAGGTTTGGCGTAGGGTTAGCTACGCGTTGGTTTAGGGCTGGCTTAGAATGCTTTAGGGTTGGTTCTGGGCTGGGTTAAGGTTGGTTTAGGGTGGGTTTAGGGCTGGTGGCTTAGGTTTGGTTTAGGGCTGGTTGAGGGTTTGCTCGGGGCTGGTTTAAGGCTTGGGGTTGATTTAGGGTTGTTTTAGGGCTGGTTTAGGGTTGGCTTAGGGTTGTGTTAGGGCTGGTTTAGGGTTGGCTTAGGGTCGGCTTAAGGCTGGTTAAGGGTTGGTTTAGGGTTTGTTTGGGGTTGCTGGTCTTAGGGTGGTTTAGGGGGTTTACTGGCTTTGGCTTAAGGTTGGCCAGCAACCTTAAGACCTCACAGCCCTGCTGACTAAGCCAGCCCAAAACCTAAACCAGCCCTAAACCACCCTAAGCCAACCCTAAACCAACCCTAAGCCCAAGCAAATCTCTGGCAGCCCTAAACCAACAGCCAGCCCTGAACCAACTGTAAACCAGCCCAACCCTGAGCCAAAGTCTTGAACCACACTCTGGCTTACGGTGGTTTAGGGTTGGTTTAGGGTTGATTGGTTTAGGGCTGCTTTGGTGTTGCTTTGGCTGGCAAAGGATTGGTTTAGGGTTGGTTTGGGGGTGGATTACTAGGAGACCCAAAAACCTCTAAAAATGTCACGCCCCCAAAAACCCCAGGTGTTTTTTTGGAAACACGCGTTTTTCAGATTGAGTGATTTACAGGAAATACACAGGCGTTGAAAAGACAAGCCTGTGCAAACGCAACTGCTTCTGGAAATTCTTACTCAGCCGACTTCATTTTTGCAAAGTTAGGTCAGAACACCTGCTACGCGCGTGCCAATTTGAGTGGGAGTGTGAGGAGGGAAACAGAAACCTTACCGACAGTTGCTGTCGGTGTGGTGCCCCGGAACCCAATTTTTCCTACAGGTTTCCACGGGTTGCCACGGCTTAGCCACGGGATCCAAACACACAATGTTATGTTTTGGAAAAAACGGGTTGCCACGGGCACTCCACGGGTTCTCTCCCCATTTCCACGGGGCCCCCAAATTCCCCCCGCCAAAGCCTTCGAGCAGTGCCGCGTAAGGCTCCGCAGGAAGATACTACTTGGCGCTTTCCCCAAAGCCACGCAACATGACGCAAATTTGCAGGTTTGTGAGTCTCTAGGTATAGGGTTGGTTTAGGGTGCTTAGGGTTGGTTCATGGTTGTCTTAGGGCTTGTTTAGGGCTTGTTTTCCGTTTCGTTTCGGGCTGGTTAGGGTTGGTTTAAGGCTGATTTAGGGATTGGCTTAGGGTTGGCTTAGGATTGGTTTGGGGCTGGTTCGGGGTTGGTTTGGGGTTGACCCGCCAAAGCCTTCGAGCAGTGCCGCATACGGTCTTTGCTCGGCACATTCCCGGTCTTTTGCTGGGGGCTCTTTGCCCTGCGCATTCCCGGTCTCTCGCCGAGGGCCGTCCCGGCCTTTGCTCGTGCCTTCCCGGTCTTTGCTCGGCGCCTTCCCGATCTTTTGCCGGGGGGCCTGCCCGGTCTTTGCTGGAAAGGCAGCCGGTTGCGAGACCGACCGGGAAAACGCAGAGAAGACTGGAAACACCCGGCGAATGCGTTACCGGGGAACCTCTGCGAAAGATGCAAGCCGGGCCGCGGCTCCGGCGAACAACCGCGAAAGCCCGGCGAAAGACCGGAGAGGGGGGGAAAGCCTGGGCAGATACAAGCCGGACCGAAAAGGCTCCGGTGACAGAGCGGGAAGGCTGCAAGGACAGACTGGCAAAACGCAAAAACAGGAAAGCTGGCATCTGCCACAGGTTTTCCCCTTCTCCGTCCTCTCGGCAGGAAGACATTCAAACAGTTCAAGACACAAGATGAAAGGAACATGTTTTGCAAGGCGCTGTGTAGCCGAAAGGCTCCGGCGAAGGACCGGGAAGGCGCCACCAGAAAGGCCCCAGCGCCCTTCCCGGCAGAAGCGCACAGTGTTCTTGTCGCAAGCGCACTGCGCGCGTAGTACGAACGAGCTCCGCCTGCCCGCCGCAAAGCGCAGGCCGCTATACGCGGGACGGCAAGGAAGACCGGAATGGCCCGGCAGGCTCCAGTGAAAGACTGGGAAGGCTCCGACCAGAGACCGGTAAGGCCACCGAAAGGCGCCGAACAAAGACAGGGAAGGCCCCAAAGACTGGGATGGGGGGGGGGCCGGCGAAAGACGGGAAGGCGCCGAGCACGGACAGGGCAGACGCGGACGGGGGAACCTTTGTTGACGTCAGTGTCTGCAGATTAGAGGGCTCGACGTGCGCAGACGAGAAGCGCATGCAGGCACATGTTTTTACGCAAGGGTCAGCAAATTAAAGGGCTCGACGCGCACAGACAATGCACTTCCGACGTGCACAGACGATGCATTTTCGACGTGCGCAGACGAACCTCTAACCAAATAACACCGCGCAGTCCGGCCTAAGCAAACCATCCAGGCCGTGGACAAAATGGCGGCAACTGCTAGATATCCAAGCATATCATAACATTCTCTCAAATTGCACCGCCACACCGCGCTGCGACATCTGGCTGACCCCACCTCCAGCCACCTGCGGGCAGTGTGCGGAAGGACGAGGTTGTGAGTAGAACGGCGCCCTCGATCATCAACTCGTAGTGGGTCTCTTTGGCCTCAACTCAAGGCCAACGCCGCAGGTCCACTGACTGGTCCAACTATTCACACATACTCTGAGCTCACTGGTGTCTAGCAACTGCTTTTAGGAATTAGTCTTGGCTGAACACTGCGCGTTCAGCGGGCAATCTAGATCACGCACCTGTGCCCCCCACGCGGCGCTGCCGCTGACCCCAAAAAACACATTGCGCGGAATGTTTTTTCGAACGCAACATGCTTCCCTATGGGCGTGGCTGCACCTTTGCAGCCGAAGCGCCAAATTCTCGAATCGAATCACCTTGCAGCACGCTACCAAGAGGTGTGGGAACTTCCCTTGACAGTTGCTGATCGGCGGGCATTGGCGCCCCAGGGGCGCAAACCAGGGCATCAACACACACACAGACACACACACAGACACACACACACACACACACAGACACGCACACACAGACACAGACACAGACACAGCCACAGACACAGACACAGACACAGGCGAAGGCAGGCGCAGGTGCAGGCACAGGCACAGGCGCCAGGCACCAGGCACCGGGCACCGGGCACCAGACACAGACACAGACACAGACAGAGACACAGAGAGACACAGAGAGAGACACAGAGAGAGACACAGAGAGAGACACACACACAGACACACACACACAGACACACACACAGACACACACACAGAGACACACACACACAGACACACACACAGACACACACACAGACACACAGACACAGACACACACACACACACAGACACACACACAGACACACACACACACACGGACACACGCACAGACACACACACACACACACGCAGACAGACACACAGACACACACACACAGGCACACGCACACAGACAGAAACACACAGACAAACACACACACACACACAGACACACACACACACAGACACACACACAGACACAGACAAACACACACACAGACACACACAGACACACACACACAGACACAGACACTCACAGACACACACAGACACAGAAACGGACACACACACAGGCACACACACACACAGACACACACACACACAGACACACACACACAGACACACACAGACACACAAAACGTGGGGCTTCCACAAGCAGGGACAGATATCTTAACACGGTCGCCCTCTTCTTGTCTTCAAACCCTGTCTGACACCATACGAAGACACAAAAACAGAGCCTGGGGTCGCTTCCGCTTCAGCTCAGCGCGTCGCTCGGCTTGAGCGCCTGAGCACTTCAGCCACGACCCCTAACAATCTGGGCCAGATCTACAATTCAGTACTCTTCCATAGCCTAGAGGCATAAACTACCCAATACTTAGCGCATGTCTGTGTTTGCTGGTCTACTGAACTATGCGTGAGTCTTGCGTGCTTCTCTTATGCTTGGACACTCGCCTTGCATTCGTGCGCGGTCTGGCGCGCGTATAGTCGGTCATGTAGCTTGGCGCGCGCCTGCGACATGTGATATTTGCACGCTTCTCTTGCCCGCAGCGCCCGAGGCTTGCCGTCACCCCCTTTCACACCGTTGCCCTGCCCAGAACTTTTTTTCAGGGTTTAGGCTTGGGTTTAGGGTTTAGAGCAAGGACTTAGGGGTTTAGGTTCTCAGGACTTAAGACGTTGAATTCCTCAAAGCAGATTCTATCAAAAGTTTCGGTCTAAATTTGACCCACCCAGGGCCCGCTCGGCCAGCGCCAAATCAACCAGCCGAACGCGGCAACAGCAGAGAAGCCAGAAGTTGCAAGCGGCAAGAGCGCGCGGACGACAAGCGATAAGTCGCGAGGGGCAGAAAGAAGCTTTCGCGAAGGCACGGATCTCAGATTCAAAGGAAAGCAACTCCGGCAGCCGAGGTGTTGCGCAGAAAGTTTGTTAGGACAAATCGCGAGTTGGAAAGTTGAGCCCCGCGTGCTCTGAGCGAGAAGCGCGTTATCCCAATTGATGGCTTGGCAACGATTTCGACTTCACCGCTTGAGAGCTTTGAGAGACATCCCATTGGCCCGGCACAGCTTCGCGAAAATGAGCGCCGCGCCACAGCAAGAGCGACTCGACCACGCGAAAGCGCACAGAGGGCTGCGAAAAACGGCGCCCGGCGGCCCAAAACCTCTGCAGGCAAGCTGCTAGTGCGTGGTGTCTTAGAAGCTCTCAAGGCCGCTTTGTCCAAACGGCGCATGAGCTGCGCCTGTCTGTGTGAGCCTGAGCCTGATCATCACTGATTCGAGCACGCGGCGGCTAAGACCGGAGGCTGGACGGCCTGAGGGCCTAAAAGTTGGACCCTGGAAATCTGGAGGCTGGACGGCCTGAGGGCCTAAAAGTTGGACTTGGAAATCTGGAGGCTGGACGGCCTGAGGGCTTGAAAGTTGGACCCTTGAAATCTGGAGGCTGGACGGCCTGACCCTTGACATCTCTCCAAGTTGTATTCTTGAAATCCGGGGGCTGGACAGTTTGATTGAAAGTGGGACCCTTGAGACTTGCAAAAAGGATGTCCATTGCCCCGGAAGGAGGTCATTTTCTCAAGAAACTTCCTGAACGCCCTCAAAAGAAAAAATCGTCTTCCAATAATGATTTTCTGAACTTTTTCAAAAAGAAAGCCGCCTTCCAAGACTCAAAGTTCAAGCTTTCTCAAAAGGATAGCCGTCTTCCAAGAATCAAAATTCAGCGTTTGTCTGAAGAGTTGGTCCACTCCCTCAGAAGAACACCCCCTCCCCAAAAGGATGTCCATTCCTTCAAAAGGATGTCCATTTCCACAAAACAAGTTTAGTTTTTTAAAAGGAAGCAAATTTCACGAAAGGGAATTTAATCAATTTCCTGCAAAAGGTGGCAATTTCAAATGAGGTTCACTTGCCCAAAAAGGTGTCAGCTTCCTCAAAAAGGAGATCCATTTTCCTCAAGCAGATGTCCATTTCCTCAAACAGAGGACTTAGAGGAATTGGTGTCAATTCCCTTACATTCCGCGAAGGTTCTAGCTTAGTTCCCATTTCCTCAAAAGAAGGTTCATTTCCCCAAAAGAGGTTTCATTTCATATTTCCTGATTTCATTCCGGTTCACTTGGTTTCCCTTCACGTCCCTTCATGTTTTTTGCTGGAGTCTGATGTGCGGAAACTGGTCACGCATACCCCCTGCTGTTGAAAGCATGGGGGTCGCCCCCCCTCTCAACAGCCGGGAGCGCTCTCCCGGCTGTTGAGGGCTTAGGGTGTTCCACCCCTATGCTCTCAACAGTCCCCCCCTGTTTTGAGCACCAAACTTTTGCGAATACACAGGGAATGCAAGCCAAGCTAAAAATACACGATTCCAGCCAAGCCATCAAAAGCCTGGCCTGGCTAAGCCTCCTCCCTTTGCGGAAATGGACCTTGTTTTGAGGAAATGGACGTCCTTTTGCGGAAATGAACACGCTTCTGAGGAAATGGACATTGGACCTCGAATTGAGGAAATTGACTTCCTTTTAATGAAATGGACATCCTTTAATTTTGAGAAAGTTGATCCTTTTCGAAAAATAGACATTTTTGGGGGGACACGGACATCCTTTTGTGGAAATGGACATCCTCTTGCATCCTTTTGAGGAAACTGACATCTGCCTCTTTGGCAAATGGACCTTTTTGGAAGATTACTTTCCTTTTGGGAAAGTTCCTGAACTTTGTATTTTGACTGCATTTACAGAAGCGAATCTGAACTTAGATGTGCTGGAAGATTACTTGAGCTTCAAAAAAGAATTGGATGCTCTGTGTTGCTAGTACGCCTGACTGCGATGGGTGTAACGTGTTTCGCGCTGCGGCGCACTCGCTTTCGAGCCGAAAATGCGCTCTCCCTAACTTGTTGTAACTGCTTCTAACTTGTTTATCTTTTTCAAAGTGTTTTCTCATCGTGTTACTAGCAGGTGTCGCTAAATGAACGCAAATCGTGTTGAATTGTTTAAAGGCTACGTGTCTGGCTGTACCTTTCAAAACATGTTTTACGTGACCAGAGAATCACTTGCCGCAACAGCTATTAAGCACTATAACCCAGCTAACTTCGCAGCGGCTAACGAAGGACGAAGGGAAATGAAGGGACATCGAGGGAACTGAAGGGAACACAATGAAAATGAAGGGAAGTGCCTTGCCAACTCAAGGGAACGCAAGGGAACTGAAGCTGAAGGGAACTGAATGGAAATGAAGGGAGCTGAAGGAAAATCAATGGAAACGAAGGGAAGCGAAATGAAAACGATAGGAATGAAGGACAAATTGAAATGGAAGGAAATGAGGGGGAATCAAGGGCACTAAGCCGAAATGGAAGAAAAGGAACGGAACTGAAGGGCAATGAAGAGAGATGAACGGCAAGGAAGGAGATGAAAGAGGAAATGAAAAGAAATGAAGGGACCCACAAAAATTAACTGACATGAATGGGAACTGTAGGGGGCTGCAGGAAAATAACAGGAAATGAAGGGACAAAGGGAAATGGAAGGAAATGATGGTACACGAGGAATCTGACCGTTTCAGGAAATGGTGAGGACATGGCCCCCTTGTGCGCAATTGAGGAAATGGACGTCCTTTGGAGGAAATGGTAAGAAATGGACATCCTTTTGACATTTTGAGAAATGTTGCATCTGTTGTGGGAATGGACCTCCTTTGTAGCAAATTGACATCCGTTTAACATGGACATCCTTTTGGGAAACGGACCCGCCTTTTCAACAATGTGATACGCTTTTGAAGACATGGACCTGCGTTTGAATGGACCTCAACATCCTTTCACGCTTTCAGGGAAATGGACATCCTTGGAAGTGGGCCTCCTTTGCGAAATTGACATCTTTGCCGGTCTGAATAAATTGACAACAGTTTCATCTTGTTGAGGAAACCGACATCCGCTTCTCAAACCCAAATCGGTCCATTTCCTCAAAAAGTTGTCAATTTAACCAACATTAAAGGATGCAAACTCCTCACAATTCAACGGGGCTCAGTTCCTGAAAAAAAGGCCGTCCAGTTCCCCAAAGGATGTGGAAATGGACAAAAAAACGGACCGGACATTGACATCCTTTTGTGGAAATGGACCACCAAAAGGTGACATGGGCTTCTTTTTGGGGAAATGGACACTTCTTTGAGGAAATGAAGCAAGCTCCTCAGAACAAAATTGTTCCGAACTTGTCACACAAATGTGAACTTTGATTCTGGGAAGACAACTTTCTTTTTGAGAAAGTTCATGACTTTCTGAACTTGTCAGCTTCTGAACTCTCAGAAACAAAGCTGAACTTGGATGTGCTAGGACCACTTGTGCTTCAGAAAAACCTGAGCTGGATGCTCTGTGATGCTAGTACACCTGACTGCGATGGGTGTGACGTGTTACGCGCTGCGGCGCACTCGCTTGTGAGCCGAAAAGACGCTTACCCTAACTTGTTATAGCTGTCCCTAATGCTCTATCACTTTTCAAGGTGTTTCAAGTTTTTGTTACTGGTTACTACTTTCGCGCAAGATGTCGCTAATTGCACACGACTGTTGTTGACTTGCTTTAAAACTACGTGTCTTCTTGTACCTTTGTTTAAAGATTTTTCACGTAACCAGATAATAGTTTGGCTCACCAGTTATTAAACAACAGCTTCTTATTCATCTGGCTGCTGGTCAGCAGATCTTAACAGAAGTGCTTGTAGACCACAATACTTCAACCCCCAGTGCATGCGTGTTCTGTTTTTTGCTTCGGTGCTGGTTAGCAACTCTCAACATGGCATGGTCACAAAAAATGTCCGTCGAGTTTGCAAGTCTTCATTTTCGCTGCTGGTCAGCAAGTCTTGCCAGGAATGCTTGGCCACATGCCATGAGTTCTGAAATATAATGTTTGCATGATTCTGGAAGCTGGTTCGCCCTCGTCATTGGTTAAGCATCACGCTGGCATGTCAGGGCTACCGCGCAAACAACGACTGTCGTGTGTGGCAGCGCTCGTCAAGCTTGATGAGGCTAGGTGACTCATTTTTTTGGAGCGGCTGTGATGGAGCTTGCTTCAAAGCTGCAAATGAAACCATGTTGAAGTTCACACCCAGTGGATTGACCGCAACCTACTAGAATACATCAGTGTGTATATATCTATCTTTACAGATATTTCTACGCATTTCATTTCCTATCATGTATGCCTGTACTTATATGCATGTTATATACATACATATTGACATTTGTGTGCGTAGCATTCAACGGTGCTTTATATCTATATTTGCGCTGGTTTTTGGAACGCATTTATGATGCCACTGAGAGAGGGGGATAGGCTATGATGTATTCGTGACAGTGAGAAGGGGGACGGGCTCAGAGAGAGAGAGAGAGAGAGAGAAAAAAAAAACAAATACACAAGGGAGAGAGAGAAGCCAAACAGAAACGAGAAGAAAGAGAAAGAAGAAGAAGGAGACAGGGAGAGATTGAGAGTGATACTTCGCTAAAACCTTGTATTCCCAAGTTCCCGCTTAAACGCCAGTCAGTTTTCCACCGTCTATATATTGCGGCTGTTCGCGGGATGGCACCAGTCAGAGCGAGCCGTGCTGCACGTGCGTCATCATGGCAAGCTTCGCCGCGTGTTTTCTCAGGTCACTGCGTGTGGGGATTGCATCCCGCAAAGAAACGGGGATTTCGCAATATCGGAGGGAAGTGGGATAGAAGGCCGAAGGGGCCTCCTGGCAAAAGTGTTCTTGAAAAATCAGGCGTTCGTTCTTGCAGCGGTCGCTGCGCTGAAGCTCCGACTGGTAATGTTACACCCGCTTTAATGAAAGTCGCCTCCATTGTGGATTTTTTCGTAATTCAGGATCCTGTGACTTTTTTAGGGGTCCGCTATTGTGGAATTCGTTTGGCCCCACCCCAAAAAAATCCAAAAAAGTACAGGCTTGTTTGTTTTTTCAACTCTCTGGTCTGGGCAGGCTCAGGTCGGGCTCAAGCTAGGCTAAGCCTTAGCTGCTGTTGAGCTGGAGGCTGGTCCTGAGCTAGCCTGAGGTCTAGGAAATCCATTTTGCAAGTTGCGCCCAAACCATCAAATTTATGATAACTTCTTTACAAAAAAGCATGGTGAATCAATCACACAAAGGGGGTTGCCCGCAACCAACCCTGATCCTCTTTAGTGTGATTGTTTTGGGGTCCTCTTTAGTGTTCAACTGGTTTTGGGGGTTCCTGAAATTCCCAAACCAAAGCCTGAGCCTTTTACTTTTAAGGGTGGCTCATCCTAAGCTCTCCCCAGCCCAAAGGTTAAAGGCTTGAGGTCTAGGAAATCCATCAAGTTGTGTGCCAAACCATCAAATTTATGATAACTTCTTTACCAAAAAAGCAAGGTGAATCAATCACACAAAGGGGGTTGCCCACAACCAACCCTGATCCTCTTTAGTGTGATTGTTTTGGGGTCCCCTTTAGTGTTCAACTAGTTTTGGGAGCAAATCTCAAAAGGAAGCCCTACCAATACTCAATCAAATTGAAACTCAGTTCCAAATCTCAAAAGGAAGCTCCAGCAATACTAAATCAAATGGAAACTCAGTTCCAAAATCTCAACAGGAAGCTCCAGCAATAATACTAAATCAATTTGAAAGCCCCACCCAGACCCCCAGGGTTTGCCTAAAGTTCCATTGTTCAGGGGGGGGTCACATTAAAGCAGGTCCAACATTAGCCTTGTTCTGCGAAGCGTCGTGGGCGAGAGAGGCCAGCGCTGTACCGACACCCCAATTTCTTAAAATTGCACATGTCTGCACGCCGCCGACATTTTGGCGACATCAAGCCCCCGACATGCGACCCGTCTCGAGCACCCCGCCCTGCAGACCCCAACGCCTCCCGTTGCTGACAACGCCGGCATGAGTCTTGTCAACCTCTAAGGGCTGCCTCGCTTCGGCGACAACGCCGACGTTACCTGCAGCCACCTCAAGAAACAAGCCCCGACGGCGTCGCCGACAAACGCTGACCTTTTAAAGGCATTGCGCCCCCACCCCGCAACACACAGGTGTTCAAGCGGGCCAGCCACCCCAAAAGGTTTCTGCTGGGCCCCGAACAGACTGTATAGTCGTCCCAAAATAAAGACATAAAGCGACAGATGACGACAAAAGCCGTCTGAAATCCACAGAAGCCGGTAAAAGGGTTTCAAAAGGAACTGTGTGGCACGTGGTCCACAAAAGTTGACGGGTTACAATATGCGAGCAAATTAGATCCGACATCGAAAAAGCACAGACGCAACAAAGAAACATACAAGTTCTCTGCCCGTCACGGTTCTCAACTGTCGCTCTCCCCAGGACTTTGAAAGTCCTTGTCCGTCGCTGTTCTTACTGGTCGCTTGTTCCACGTCGTTAAACTTTCTCTTTCCGTCACGGGTCTCAACGGTCGCGTGTTCCATGTCATTGAAAGTCTGTGTCCGTCACGGTTCTTACTGATCGCTTTTTTGCACTTCGTCAAAGTTCTCTGTCCGTCACGGTTCACAACGGTCGCATTGCCCATGTCTTTGAAAGTCTCTGCCCGTCGCAGCTTTTACTGGTCGCATTTCCACGTCATCAAAGTTCTCTTTCCGTTACGGCTCTTACTGCTCGCTTTTTCCATGTGTTTGAAAGTCTCTGTCCGTCACATGTATTCACATTTGACTTTTGTCAGTTTTCACTGCTGTTCACGACGTGGAAAAAGAAACCAGTAAGAAACGTGACGGACACAGACTTTCAAATGTGGAAGAAGCGACCAGTAGGAGCCATGACGGACAAAGACTTTCAACGACCTTGAAAAAAGCGACCAGTGAGAACCGTGACGGACAGAGACCTGCAAGACACGGAAAAAGCAACAGTTGAGAACCGTGCCAGACAAAGACTTTCAAAGACATGGAAAAAGCGATTGTTGCCAACTGTGACGGACAGGGAAACTAAACGACTTAAACGACGTGGAAAAGGCGACCAGTAAGAGCCGTGATGGGCAGACATTACATGGAACATGCGACCGTTGATCCGTGACGGCCAGAAAGCTTTAACGATGTGGAAAAGCGACCAGTAAAAACCGCTAGGGACAGAAACTTTCAATCACATGAAAGAAGCGCCAGTTGAGAACCGTGACAGACAGAAAGCTTTAACGAGGCGCCGTGACGGACAGAGACTTGGCGAGAATGGGAAGAAGCAACCGTTGAGAACCGTGACGGACAGAGAACTTTAACGACGTGGAAAAAGCGACCAGTAAGAACTGTGATGGACACAGACTCCCGAAGGCATGAAAGCAACGACCGTTGAGAACCGTGACGGGCAAAGACCTTGGAAAGCACGGACAAAACGACCGCATCGGAGAGTTAACTTTAACGAGGTGGAGAGAGCGACCAGTATGCCTGTGTGTGTATATGTGTGTATGTATGTATGTCTGTATGTATGCATGTATGTGTGTATGTGTGTATGTGTGTATGTATGTATGTATGTATGTATGTATGTATGTAAGTATGTATGTATGTATGTATGTATGTGTGTGTATGTGTGTATGTATGTATGTATGTATGTATGTATGTATGTATGTAGGTATGTATGTATGTATGTGTGTCTGTCTTTGTCTGTCTGTCTGTCTCTCTGTCTGTCTCACTGTCTGTCTGTCTGTCTGTCTGTCTGTCTGTCTGTCTGTCTGTCTGTCTGTCTGTCGGTCTCTGTCTGCCTGCCTGTCTGTCTGGGTATGTATGTGTGTGTATGTATGTGTGGCGAGAACCTTCATCCTCGAAGTTGTTCTCGGGTGGACGGGGAACCCGCACCGCGCGGGCGATGTTCTTGTAGTCGTACTCGTTGTTCACGGATGATACACTGCTGCATGCTCTTGTGAGGCTGCCTCCAAACATGAGGGGCCTTCTAGCTCGACCATGCCAGAGACCCCGCGCGTCCACGTGCTTCTCCAAGAGCTCAGCCTCGCCGGAGGGGGCGTGAGAGGGCCATGTTGATATTTTGCGCCGATCGCCAAGCGAGTGGCGTGTAGGCGTGTAGGGGCGCAACAGCACCGCGGCTCGAAGAGCTGCGACAGCGAGATCAGCAGGGTGTCACCTGGCTCCGCTTACCATCAAAACGCCGAGAGCGGCGCAACGGTGCTGAGGCCGCTACTTTCACCTGTCTGCTAAAAGGGCGCCCTAGTTGAGCCAGGGTTGCGGTTGCGTAGAGCTGCTCACTCGTGCGTGCGGCTGGAGCAACCCAGTGTGCATTTTCATTTGATCAAACACGCGCTGGTGCTTTCTGATTCCTTGCGCAAAGCTTGAGCAAAGCAGAAACATCCGCACAAGCCGGAAATTGATGACCCTAGCATGCGACCGCCAGGTTCACGGGCCAAGGCGCCGCTCTCCGCCTTCAGGACGCAGCCTCAAACACATGTGCCCGTTCGAAACTGTCACATTGTTTTCCCCAAAAGACTCATTCCAACGCCGGGAACAAGTGCAGCCGTCCTGGTCTGAACGTACCTGCCAAAGCTTGTTCCACATGAGATCTTTGAAGCCATAAAACATCAAGACACCAACATTCTGAGAGCACGCGCGCAACCACTAACATGCCGTCGCCATCTAAACAGTCTGCCTTGGGAGGGTATGCAACACAAAAAATGTCGCAAAAGCGACCCCCTCCCAAGAGTTAACCCAAAAAACACCTCACAAGCAGAACATGCCTTCTTGATGTTTGGCGATTGCAAGCCGGAAAGCTGTAAAGGCGCAAGCTTCGGGGTGCGGGGGGGCTGTCACAGTGATGCAATATGCAACTAACACACTTCAGAAAGGACAGTCATTGGTATAGTCGTGGAGAGTTTACTCCTGGCTAAGCATCCGCGCGGATAGGTACATCATGGCTGGCTTCCAGCAATATCCGGGCAGATGACCTGCCGCGCTCTAGCAACTGACAAAAGAGCTGAGAACTGTTCTGCTCGCGACGGTCCTGAAAGGGGACAGACCCACCAAACAATCGGGGCGCCCATGGAGCTTTTTTCAGCTTGAAGTTATTGAAATCGCTACGCAATCCGCCGACGCCAGTGGGGCGCAAGGGATTTGAAGACATTTTTCTTTTCGGTCTGCTTGGCACTATTTAATTTTCAGTCAGGAAACATGTCCCACATGCTGGGGATGCTGGAAATGCAAGGGATGCAACCACAGAACGTACAGGAACAGACCCAATCTTCGCGCTCAAGATTTTAAAGCTTTCAATCACAAGAAATTGACGTAACACAGAAAATACTAGAGATGTCGGGAATGCTGGGAATGCAGCCGGCTGGCCACAAAAAGAGTCCAAGAAACCAGGATTTGTTGATATTTCCCAAAATCAACTATCTAAAGCAGATACTAGCAACCCCCTTCAAATACCCTAAAACTAGACTTCCAAAAACATGATAATGCAGAGTTTTGTCGCAGTGAGTGCTCCGTACAGGTGGAGAATTGCAAAAAAACATTCATTCTTGCAATTTCAAACAGTTCCTCAACGCATCACTGCACTTGGCCCCGCCCCCTAACAGACCAATTCCAACATCGCTTCAAACACCAAAACACCATTAGCATCTGCAAAAAAAACCAATTCATAGCAACAAGGGTAACCCTGATGATGCTGGGGATGCAGATCCTGCGCGTCCAGGGGAAACCCCCCCTAGACACCTAAGCGAAACGCAGGCAAGCCCCAAAAACACTGGACAATTACAGGGTTTTGGAGAGCAAGTTGCGGACTGCCCAAAAAATGGCAACCCCAAAAGCCTTCGGAGCCGAAGGAAGACCAATTTGCGGACTGCTATCTACACGCTCGACTGGCATCGGCGGATTTTTAGGAATTGGATCGGGACGGACCATCAAGCTCGACAGGGCTTGGCAATGGGACGTTCAGTCCTCTATTTGACAATCCGCCGACGCCTGTCGAGCGTGTAGATGGCAGTCCGCAACTTGGTCTCCAAAACCCTGTAATTGTCCAGTGTTTTGGGGCTTGCCTGCTAAAAACCTGCGTTCCGCCTAGGTCTCTAAGGAAAGGGTTTCCCCCGGACGCGCAGGATCTGCATCCCCAGCATTTTGCAGATACTAATGGTGTTTTGCTTTTCAAGCGATGTTGGAATCGGCCTGTTACTATTGAAATTTGCAAAAATGATCATTTTTTGCAATTCCCAACCTGTACGGAGCACTCGCTGCGAAACATCCCCTGCATTATCGTGCTTTTGGAGGTCTATTTTTGGGTTGCTTTTGGGAAATATCGAAAAACCTAGTTGTTTGCACCTTTTTTGTGGCTAGCCGGCTGCATGCCCCGCATTCCCCACATCTCTGGTATTTTCTGTGTTTGTCGCTTGTCTGAAAAAGCGCGAAGATTGGGTCTGTTCCTGTAAGTTGTGTGGTTGCATCCCCTGCATTTCCAGCATCCCCAGCATCTGGGACATTAAAAACAGGAAAGTGCCAAGAAGGCCTTGTTGTACTTACAAAAGAATTGGGCCTTGCTTGCATCCCCTTTCGCGGGGATGCTTACAGAGTAGACCCTAGTGACTTAGGCCCTAGTGTTCTTCTCCTGTCACGTGTTCAGCCCTGCAGCCGAAGTCAGAGCCGCGTTGTTTGCCTTCTCGCTAAGAGCCCCATGTCACCGAAGCAAAAAACATCTTTTTCCTTACCCAAAATTCCTCCTTCCACGTGTTAAGAGCCCCATGTGACCTAGGTAAAAAAATCCTTTTCCAAATTTAAGGCACCTCAGAGCGGCGTTGTTTTTTCTCCTTCCACGTGTTAAGACTCCCGTGTGCCCCAATTTCAAATTACTTCGCCCGACGTCAGAGGGGCGTTGCTCGTTCTCCTTCCAGGCGTTAAGAGACTCCTAGGCCAAAAAAATTCTTTTTCCTTACCCCAAACTCAAGGTACCTTGCAGCCGACGTCAGAGGCCTGTTTGGTTCTCCTTCCACGCGTTAGGAGCCCTATTTGACCTAAACAAAAAAATCTTTTTCCTTACCAAATTCGAGGCACTCTGCATCCGACGTCAGAGGAGCGTTGATTGTTCTCCCAACACGTTAAGAGCCCGATGTGACCTAGGCAAAAAAAAACGTCTTGCTCCCGGCCCGAAATTCGAGGCGACGTCAGAGGGGCGTTGCTTGCGTTCTCCTTTCACGTGCTAAGAGCCCCACTTGACCTAGGCAAAAAAATCTTTTTACCTACCCCAAGTTCAAGGCACCCTGCAGCCAACGTCAGAGGGGGTTGTTTGTTCTTCTTCCACCACGCGTTAAGAGCCCCACGTGACCTAAGCAAAAAACATCCTTTCACCTACTCCAAAATCGAAGCACTCTTCAGCCGACGTCAGCGGGGCAAGGCGTTGTTTGCATTCTGCTTCCAGACGCTAAGAACCCCACGCGACCTACGCAAAAAAAGAGTCTTTTCCCTTACCCCAAACTCAAGCTACCTTGCAGCCGACGTCAGAGGGGCATCGTTTGAGGCACCCTGCAGCCAACGTCAGAGGGCGCTGTTTTTGTTCTCCTTCCACGCGTTAAGAGCCCCATGTGACAGCACCCTGCAGCCGACTTAGGGGGGGGCGAGCTGACTTTGCGCAGCTCTGGTCTGGCAATTGTCCCTCGAGCCAGTGCTGACTCCACATTGATCAGCCCCAGCGTATTAATAGGGGACTGTGCACTGGCGTCTGCGGACCGCGTAGCGACTTCAATATGCTTTGCTTCCGGGTATCAATCCTATCAAGAGTCCCGTCAGGCCCAGCTGCATTTCGACACGCTTTCCGTTGGGCCCTGGCGGGCTTTGAACTGACGCCCGATTTGCACTGGAAGCCCAAGAGCCGCAACAAACATCAGCCCCAAAACCGGCAATTGTTGAAATTTGTGTCTTGCTAATTTGCCAGCAAACAAAAAGGGAGATATCTCATCTCGCGGAAACTTCGAAACTCAGGTTTGGCCAGCCTCAGCTTAAAGGGCTTACGAGACGGCGATGGTTCACACAAATCAAGCATGAAACGACGCGCCCCGCACACCTTGCGCGCAATCAACAAGATCAGAAATGCATACGGCAACAAGGCAGCGCTAGTATCTTTCCGAGCAAAGTCAAGCTCGCACCAGCTCCTTAATTTTTACTGCCAGTGAAGGAGGACGCGTGAAATCAATCAACAAAACACGTGAATACGCCAGCAGGAGTCAGGATCCTTGGGTGCATCTCCTGCAACACGCTCACACATTCAAAACACAACAACGCACCAGTTGCCACCCTCCGACATGAGCATGCCTGGCCAAACTTCACCTGTCAAAATGGATACTTGTGGTCAGCACAGCCAAGAGCTTGAAGCACGTTGCCTAGTTAAGTTTCACATCAGACCTGTCAAGGCAGCCTTGAATCTTGAAACACACCTTACCGGGTGGGCTGTCTAAGAACCATTCCCCTTTCAGCCGAGCTGCTCTGTGACTTTGCCGATGACTGGCCCCAAAAGAATGTGGGGCTCATTGACGGGCTCCTCCTCCAGCTTCTCCCTCACTACTTTCCTGAGCTTGTCCTTGTGAGGCATATGAAGGTTCAGTAGAATAGCCCCCCTTTCCACATAGGATTTTCTTCTCAACTGAAATTGGACTTTTGACTAGCATTCAGTAAGGGTACAATTATTTCCCACAATTTTTATTAGTCAATGACAACTTAAATAAACACTTCCTTTCCAAATAGGAGTTACATCAAAATGTAAGTCTAATTTCGTGTAAAGTCCAACTAACTTTATCTAATACGAACAATCATCCAAGTAGCTTTTGATAACAAATAATGGGAACTAATTCTCGAAAACATACTAACTATGGCAAACCGTAAGGAAAATCGAAATAAGACTTGCGTTGTTTACACTACGACCCTTTTGTAGCATAAGAAAGGTCTGACGTTAAACTTGTTAGATTTCCGGAGGTTAGAGGTTCAACTTCCAAACCTATCTCGAAACAGGGTTCTAGCTAAGGTCAGCCGTATTTGAAGTCGTACTTGGACAGGAAGACATAATTAATTCACTCTATCTCAAAAAGCGGAAATAGCGAATGAGCAGAGGTGAACAGGGGTGATGGTGTGTGAACATATGTTATAACGCTGTTAAGCACAGTGTTTTCAGCAATACACCCAGCTTTACCTGGTTGAAGAAGAGTCAGTCGATCTTGGGGCCGGAGGCTGAACAGGGCATGCCGGCGACTCATGGCGCTGAACCTTGCGAGCGGGAAAAGTGCAGTTTCCCTTTGGGCACGTTCCAAATGGAATTTCTCGGACGCGGCTTCCCGCCGCTTTGAGCAACATGCCAGGGCTGACAAGTTGCACCTCCGATTCAGAGGCATGACTGCAAAGACCGCGCGACAATTGTACACCAACTGGTCAAGGGATCATGTGCCCGCCCAAGCCGCCCCTTTCACGTGGCAACTCGCTCAGGCCAGCCTCTTGCTCTGTCCAGATTCACAACTGGAGGTTAGCCTCATAGATACTTCTGGGTTTTTGCTCCGTACCACCGAGATCTTGAGCCTGCAGTTAGAAGATGTCCAGGTTTTCTGCATGTCCGGCACTGTAGCAATTGCGTTGCGCAACACAAAGACTTCCAAACAGTTTTCCCAGTCCTTGACCTTTGCTGACCACACGTTTGCTGCGATTGTCCTGGCTGGCCTCAAGTCTTTACCCAAACAGGGCCCATTGTGGAACCGCTCTGCGGGAAAGTTCAGGCATTTTTTTGCACTTCTTCTGGACGCTTGCAGCGCAGGTCATTTGCAGTTTGTTGCTAGGATTTAGCTAGACTGAGCTCCGAACAGGAGCGCCACCTTTGCTAAAAGCGTTTCTATTGGAAGTTGTTGTTTTTTCGTTTTGGGCTTCCCCGTTTTGCCTTGTGACCCTGAAACGATTGTTGGGGCAGTTGGGGGGAGTTTCTATGAGGCCTGTTGTGATCTCGCAGCTCGCGAAGAGCCACCTGATGGGTGAGAACCCTTTTGTTGGCCAACATTGGCCTGAATACAGGCAGCCAAGCGCTGCGTGCCCCAACTTTGACTTGTTTCCGGCTGGTTGCCAATGTGTGCCTGCGCGGTGGTGGGGGGAGCTGAAAATACTTTCACGTGCGTAGCGATCCAGTGACAAGCTTTCAAGTGCTTTTGGTGAAGCTATGCTCATGTTGACCAATTGCAAGAACATGAAAATTGTTTGAAAAAGCGCTTCCCAATCATCCCAGTCTCTGACTTGACGACGAAATTCCGCAAGAAATGTGGTAATCTCTAAAATGTTGATGCGTTGGCTTGCGCTCAACTTGTACGAAAAAATGACTTTCCAAAACCCACGAAAAGCAGGGTCAGGCATTTGTAGGTTGGTTTCCTCGGCCGCAGCCAGCAAAGCAAAACGAACATCAGTTCCTCAGCGGCACGCATGGCGGAGAAGCCATTTGAGATGCGCCTCCTCTTCTCCCTCGTTCATCGAATGCAAGAATTTTGCAACCGCCTCCACGCAGCGCCAAGAAGCTCCTTCATCTTGAAACCCCTTGGTGGACCCCCGAACCTGGTTGTAGATTAACCCCTCTAAGGAAAATGAGGCGCGCGCCACGGGTACTTCACCTCCAAAAAATGATTTTGGGAGATGAGAAAGCTCTGTGCACCCAAGGATGCCCGCGGCAGGATGCGCCTCCACAAGGCCGGGTCCAGCCACACAAGTTCCCAGCCAGGTAAGTACGATATTTTTCCAGGGCAGGGGGAAGTCCAACCAGGCAACAGAAATTTAAGGAAGTGCAGCCTTTTTGGGGACGTCCAAGCCTTCGCAAGCCCATGCGTGGAATTGTGCCATCCACTTTGCTTCGTTTGTGGGAGGGGCAGTGCCTCAAGTTCCAGCCAAGTAAGTACGATATTTTTTGGCAGGGGGAAATCCAACCAGGCAAGCAGAGGGCTGATTTGGCAAGGCAGCCTAAGCCGAGATCAGCCCATGCGTGGAATTGTGCCATCTACTTCGCTTCGTTTGTGGGAGGGGCAGTGCCTTGACAAGGCCGCCCCCAGGCAGCGTGGAGGTCCAGCCACACAAGTTCCGGCCTGGTAAGTACGAGACTTTTCCAGGCAGGGGGAAGTCCAACCAGGCAAGCAAAGGGCTGATTTGGCAAGGCAGCCTTGCAGGGAGTTGAGCTTCGTTTGACAGAAACGGCTCGGTGCCGATCGGGGAAGAGTCTCACCACAGTTGCAGCTTTAGCAATGGATATTCAGAAATGTCGATACTCAGGAATCGCGTAACTAACACATCGAATTTGGGCACCAAGCTGCCTGGGGGCTGCCTTGTGGAGGCACTGCCCCTCCCACAAACGATGGAAAGTAGATGGCGCAATTCCGGCATGCACTTGCGGCCGCCCAGGCTTCAAAAGACATGGAAGGAACTCGCATCAGCTGGCTGAACTCCCTCTTTGAGAAGCTGCTTTGCCTCAAAATCAGCCCTCTACTTGCCTGGTTGGACTTCCCCGCCGCCTGGAAAAATCTTGGCTTGGAAAGAGACCGTCAAAATTAGCCCCTCTACTTACCTGGCTGGTAGGGGGCTGCCTTGTGGAGGCGCCGCCCCTCCTACAGACGACACTTGCGGCAGCCCAGGCTTCGAAAGACATGGAAGGAACCCGCATCAGCTGGCTGGACTTCCTCAAAGGCTGGGAGGCTGCCTTGTGAAGCGCTGGCTTGTGGAGGCACTGCCACAAAAAGTAGATGGCACAACTCCAAATGCAACAAACCGTGACTTGGCCACATTTCTTGTTTAACCGCCCGCCCTACACCCTATCTGTCACATCAGCTGGCGTTGACTCAGCATGAAACTGACACTGACTATCGTAACATACGCAGAGAGCGGCAGTCTTTGGCGAGTGAGTGAGTGAGTGAGTGAGTGAGTGAGTGAGTGAGTGAGTGAGTGAGTGAGTGAGTGAGTGAGTGAGTGAGTGAGTGAGTGAGTGAGTGAGTGAGTGAGTGAGTGAGCGAGCCAGTGAGCGAGCGTGAGTGGACGCACTGAGTTGTGCCACAAACTAGGTAACCTGTGCATCTTAGGGGGCAAAAAAAAAGGTGCCATCTATTTTGCATCCCGTTTGACCCAAATTTCTGGCGGACCGTGTTTTTTGAGCCATCTATCTGCCGGGTAGAGTAAACAAATAAAAATCTAGGGTTGTCCGAATACTCTGAGACGCACGCACACTCCGGCAGCTGGCAGATGTTGATATCATTGCTTACATTACACATGAATGTTTGTATGATTTTGTACACAAGCCCCGCGCCCACCCCCCCTGCCACAAAATCAAGGAGGCAAAACAGGCATAAAACACGGGAAAAACACAGCTCAAGCTCACCAAACCAGGGTCTATGGAAGGAACCAAGCATAAAATGCACGAATATGAATTGGCAGTTGCTTTTTTCACCGAACGGAAAGTCGGTGGCGTGGTGGCGACCAAATCTAGTTCTGGAACGCAGATTCTGGCTAGGGCCTAGCTGCTTGCTGACGGGTGTGGATTGAGGCGCCTTTGGTCCATTGTCTTTCGCAACAACAAAGAAGGCAGCAACATGTGGCGCCCATCAAACCCGCTGCCGAAGAAGCTGGAAACGCTCGCCGGAGATGTCCTGAGAAGCGACTGCGCGACGCTATCCAGCGGGCACGGTAAACAATTGACGGCTGAATCATCTCGTGCCGCCTGACATTTGTGATCATCTCGGACAACGAGGACAATGTCCGAGATCCAACATCCTAGTTGTTGATGCACGAGGGCATCTCTTTCTCCTGTTGCCAAGCTCTGTTCTCTCTCTGAGCTCGCAAGATTGAACAGGAGGGGGTGACCCAGTCAGAGATTCATCTATTCACATGGCATCAGCCCAGCAGTGCGCCAAATCGGGTAACGGCTTTGAACGATTTTCCAGGGGCTGCGCAAACGCATGCTCTGTCAAACAAATCGATCGGATGGTCAGTTTCCAATCTGCCTTTCTCTTGGACAAACCCAACATGCATTGCGAAAGAAGCAAGGCACCCAGTCAAAACAATGTTTGCTCATCTCGGTTGACAGGCCCTGTGCTCCAGCATTCGGAAGGCCTCCGGCCCCCACATGGACGAGCAGCGCACATGCTTCGCATGCAGGCAGACCTTGGAGCACTGGTTTGGCAAGAGCATTCTTTCAAGATGGGCGTCTGTCCGTTGGGGAATGCCAAGTCAGCATGATAAACACCACACCCCTCAAGTGACAATTATCCATCCGTTCATTCACATGCGTGTGAATATCTGTGTGTAATGGCATTCCGTGTTGTTCTGCATGTGTTTTCCCAGGTCTTGGGGCATCATTTTGCCGTCCTGCATGGTCGCTTGAGAACAACTCACTGTCACAAGCACTCACTCACACTCACTCACTCATTCACCCACACTTACTCACGCTCGCAATCACTCTCGTTATCGCTCACGCTCATCGCCTGCACATTCACACTCACTCGCACTCACGCCCGCTCACTCCCACTCACTCACTCGCACTTACTCGCGCTCGCACTTGCAGGTGCTCGGAGACTCACTCGCCCGCCTCACCTCGCCTCACTTCTTCACCTTGTCACTCACTCACTCAATCACTCACTCACTCATTTACTCCCTCATTCACTCACTCACCCTCACACACTCACTCGCTCTCGCTCTCACTCTCACACTCACTCTCTCTCCCTCTCTCACTCACTCACTCACTCACTCACTCACTCACTCACACTCACTCACACCCACCCACCCACCCACCCACCCACCCACCCACCCACCCACCCACCCACCCACCCACCCACCCACCCACCCACCCACCCACCCACCCACCCCCACCACCCTCACTCACGCACTCACTCACTCACTCACTCACCCACCCACCCACTCACTCACTCACTCACTCACTCACCCACTCACTCACTCACTCACTCACTCGCTAACTCACTCACGCACTCACGCACTCACGCACTCACTCACTCACTCACTCACTCACTCACTCACTCACTCACTCACTCACTCACTCACTCACTCACTCACTCTTTCACACTCCGTTTCTCACATTCTCAGTCTTGTTCTGATCGACACTTCTCATCAACACTTCTGGTCGACACTTCTGAGCAACACTCAACCACTGCTCAGGACCATGAAAACCGGTTCTGACGGCCATTAGCTGCTTGCACTTCACGTTGTTTTCACGCTCCGGCCCGTTGTTCACGTTTTTAACGGCCTTTCACGCGTTTTTTCACGGCCATTTCACGCGTTTTCACTGCCATTGATGGCGCTGCTGCGGTTTCACGGTCATAGCCTTTTTGCACGGCCATTTGCCCAAACGACCAGCGACCAAAGGAAATACAGCCAAACAGTTCTCCAGGACTTCTGATCGACACATCTGAGCAACACTTCTGGGAGACACTTCTGAGCCGCACGTCTTGTCGACACTTCCGACCGACACTTCTGATCGACATTCTAAGCGACGCTTTCGAGCAACACTTCCAATCAACACTTCCAGTCACTCTCGCCGCATCTCTTGTCTCAAAATCTGCGCCACGCCGCCGCGAGAGCGATTATGCACACGCTTCGACCCAACCAATGTGTGCGGAGGGCTCACCTTGCGCTCTCAGAACGCGCGCCGCGCCACAGCGAGAGCGATTCGACCCACCCAAAGCGCGTAGAGGCTTCGCTTTGCGTTCTCAAAAAGTGCACCGCACCGCAGCGAGAGCGGCTCGACAAATTCATTTTTTGCGCTTGCCACAAAATCAGCGCCCAAGCCCGAAAAAGTATTGCGCCTGCCACTTTTTTTTGCACGAAAAGCTCCCAAGCGATGCGCCTGCCACGAAATTGAAGCCAAACGCTCGAAAGTGCTGCGCCTGTCACGCAAAGTGAGCTTGCCACAAACTCAGAATCTTCCAAACTGCTGCGCCTGTCACGAAATCCAACTTTGACACGTTGACGACACACGCATCCAAAACTAGCACGGGACTGCGGCGCCAGAATGGTTTCGAGCAATTCTGACGCATGGGCAGGGGCAACGAAAATGACATTCGCACAAAAGCTTGCACGTGCCTGCCAAGCAAGACACAGCCTTCCAAAACACGGCCCTTGCGCAGCAAAACCGCACGTCGAGCTTGCGAAGCTACAATTCCCATGAAAACAGGAACAACTCCTCGCGAACACGGCCTCCGCCTACGCGTTCTGGGGATATTTGCTGCGAGGTAGCAGGAAAGAAACGATGTTCATGTCTGCGCACGCGTCAAAGATACGCTTGGCGCTGAAGGACAGCGTGGGTGACTTGCCAGGGGCCACAGCTACAGCCGCATTCTGGAACAAGGGCACGAAGGAAATGCTGGAAGCATGACTGTGTGTGGCTGTAGCCGAACGCTGCCTTGCCACAGCTACAGCCGCTGGTTAAGGGAAGGGGCTGGGCCTGGGGTCAGTGATCCACAGCCGTAGCCCTGGAGCAAGAGACCGGGGCTAAGGCGAGGCGCCAATGGTCATGTCTGGATGTCATGACAGATTGAGAACGCGTCCTTCTGAAAGGCTCGACAGCGCTGTCCATTCAGCGCACATGTCTTACGCCAATGTCGTCCAATCACGTCAAGGGTGCGGGCAGGCACTTGTCACCTCGCCTCGGCCCCCTGCTGCATTTGTTACTCAAATGAAGTTTGGGCCAACGCATGTAAACTCGCGAGCAGATTCCTGAAAGCCAAAAGCAATGAATCAGTTGACACATGACACGCATTTGGTTGAGGCACGGGTCGGCTCTGAGTTTTAGCGCGTGATGCGAGTGCTGCGCATCAAGTGTTGAAATCGATCAAAAATACGGCCGCGCAAAGTTCATGACTCAAACAAAGGGCCCAAACGCGACCTCCGCCGCACCGTCAGTATAGCCAGAGGATAGTGTGTGAAGCCGAGAGGAAAGAGCTGTCATTCCAGGAGAGCTATGAGTATGGTATAGAGCACAGAGTGTGACTTTTCCTTTGCCAAGCGGGAAAAGCACAGAACGGTTTAGTTGCTAGTAGTAAATACAGAATACTTGCAATTCAGCTAGTGTTAGACATGTTATCAGTACATCTTTAGTTTCAAGAAGTAAATGCAAGCAAGGCGGTGTATCGTTTTTGAAAAGAGTGTGGGCCGGGTTCATGGTTATATACCATATGAAAGGTTTGAGCCGGGGTCAACGTGCTTGTCCGGCGGGCTCCTCTCATAAGGACTAGCAGGTGGTGTCTGCGTGCGCGTAAGCGTGCAAGTGTGTAAGTGTGTAAGCGTGACGCGTCTGCGAGTTTGTTCGCGCTGCCGGTGGCGTTCACAGGCAGTGGATTGCTCAACTGGCACGCTTGCAGCATCGAGGGGCAACATGCTTGTATCCTACCATTGGGCTGGGAGCTGGACGGCTGCTCACCTATAGAACCAAGGGCTACCTGTTTGGGCCCAGTAAACCAAGATTAGACCTGGGCGGGACAGTAGCACACCTTTTGACCCGCCACACTGCAAATGTGTTAGATGTGTGTTGCACAAGCTACCCCTTGTGTTTCAACAGAAGCTTGGTTCCTGCCTTTTGGACAACCCGTTTTCCAGTGGCTCGGATAATTGGAACACCTTGTTTACTCCGACATACGGTCATCAATCGACAAGCTCTCGTAACCGACGTGCTCCGTGTTAGGCCTCAGTCTGCGCTGATGTTGAGGCAGCAGCCAAACTTCTGGCGATACGTTCTCTGACCTTGGGCAAGCAACCGCGCCTCCACAGCACAAGACATTCGTGAGCCTTTGACAAGTGCCTGTTTACGCTTACTCCAAACACCCGCCCGGCCGGAAACAAGCTCTACACAGCATTCGGACCGTAGGGGTCCAAGCGAAGCGGAGCTCCGGGAATCCAAGCGCCCAGCGCTATTTCAGGCAGGGTGGATTGAAGCTGCTCAGAAATTTCCGAGAGAACCTGGCGGAAAAGGAAAACCGACCAAGATGTAACTTTGACACGTTTGTCGTGTTCGAGCGAAATAAACAGTTGCGGGCGTAGAGCTTTCGAGCGGGCTGGCGACGTGGCCTGAGGTTGTTGTGGCTAAGTTTTGATGCGTCATTGGCTAACGAACTGCTTTGGCTGTTCGCTTGCGCACGCAAACAACATCTCCAAAACCAATTGAAGGTTCCAAGGCTCATGTTGGCCGAAGCTTGCTCGAGCGACACATGGAAGCATTGATGGAACATAAGAATCAGCAATCGAACATGGCTTGAGCTGGCGCTTCCGCTGGCCTTGCGCGGAGCTTTCGCGCAGGTTGCTTGTTTTCTGCAATTGTGTCGGCAAGTGCTCTCCTCGGCCTGCGCCCTGTTTATAGTCATGCACAAAACCATGACCCGCAAACATGTAAGCCTTTTGCTAACCAACCCTGTACGAGTCGATAAACGCTTGCGCCCGCCCTAGTTCGAGAGCGATCGTTCCTTCCGGGTACTACTTTCAGAGGTAGAGCTTGAAGTATGATGTGACATGTGGATCCAACGTGACACGTGTGTAACGTTGTCCTCGGCGAAGGCAGCCGTGGCAACACGCACTCGAGAACCACTCGCCTCTCGGGCCCTCTGGAGGGCAACCAGCCCATCAAAGTCTTCGTCTACATGGGCAAAAAGTCGCTGTGAGAGGAAGTCGCACTCCTCGGCAAAGAAAAACCTAGGCCATGCCTAGCAGTGGCCTCAAGCCTCAGGGCCGCTGCGCTGAGCCTTGCAGATCCCCCGCAACGACTCAAAAACTTGACGCGTGTCAAGGCATGGGCGCGAATTATCTCACCCTGCGTGTTGGCTCTTGGCAATGTGAGTAGTCAACTCAAATGCTTTCCAGGCAGCCTCGGCGCACTCCGCCGGCCAAGGAATTGCATCCTGCAATTTGCAGCAAAGCAATCGTCGGTCAATCCACGTCCCCGAGTCTGCGTTGTTGCAGTGTGCCTCAAGAAGCGTTCTCCTCAAAGTTGACTGCTCTCCAAGTGGGGTATTCCTCAAAATGATGTGTCCTAGGAATGCCGTGTTCCATTTCTGAAAATGGGGCGTTCCCCTACCTAGCTCTTCGGCGAAGGAGTTCTACAGGGTTTTTGGGCTTAGGTTTAGGGCTCGTAGGGTTTAGGTTTGGGGCTCGTTTAGGTTTAAGGTTTCATTAGTACAGTCGCGTTGGGAGCCATTCCAAAAGAATGCAATTATTCTGCAACCTTGAACGGGGTGTTCGTCAACATTGAAAGTTTGCCAGTGAGAACAGCCTTGATCAACTCATCTGCTTTGGCTGAGTGCTTCGTCAGGGAGTCAGCAAGGCAATCTTCGCTTCGTACGTGCGCAAGGTCATGCATCCGCCCGCCGTCGCTTTCTTTCCGCAACACCCGAATCACGTGCATTGTTTCCGTCAGCTCAGGATGATAGGCTGTTGGGGGTGTTGTTGCAAGGTTATTTGCATCGGTTCTGACGCGCTGCAATTCCAGAGGCCAGCAAGAAACCAGCTCTTGACCTTGATCTTTCTGGTGTCAACAAGGTCAAACACCTCATTGGCAAGCCATGGGTTGCACTCTAAGCTTTGCTTCAAGAAATTGTTTCTGACAGGCTCTTACTTCTGTCGCCGTGGCTTCTTTCCTCTTCTTCCCGGCGAGGGCTGATGTTGTGGAAGCCCTCAATGACTCTTGGCAAGCAGGGCGCAAAACCAGAAGTGCTCTGCCATCATCTGTCATGCGCTTGCGCAGATGATCCACACTGTTCTCATCGGTGAACCTCTGGTGAGAGAATCCACATCCGGTTTGGGAGTTCCCTGAACACTGCCAAGGTTTCCTTCGCTCTCTCCTGGAACAGTAAAGTATCCAGTGTTAGAACAGAAACTCTGATCGGCGGTATGTAGGACCACTGTGCCTCAGCGAGCACAAGGTCGGCATCGTGGACATTGTGTGCTCTGGTCCTCTAAAAATTGTCTGCCGCCGTCCTCGCCCTGATCAGAATATATATTTGAGCGCGTTGCGAACTTCCAGCGCTTGATGATGTTGAAACGTGAGAAATGAGGTCTTCTTCATAATCTGAACCCATTGCTAACTTGGCTGGGTTGTTCGGAGGGTCTCTCGGCAAAAAAGCTGGCTCATTCCTGCAAAAGAGTCAGGTGTCTGATCATCTGATTTCTTCCCAGTTGTCTGCTTCTTCGGAGGACTGCTCTGCAATTGAGCTTGCACAAGGTTAGGCAGTTCGAGCTCGGATGTTCAAAGTTACTGGCGCTTATACAGCCGGTAAAATTGGCCGGGTCACCTACGGGTGCGCCGGCAAAGAAACATCAGCCCCCCAGTCGGTCGAGTCCGATTGAGGAGGAAGTTAACTGCGCTGATTTGACAAGCGCTGGTCTGGCGGACGGTCGGTGGTTGTCTGGGTTTATCTGACCGGTCGGGTGGAGCCGTGGTCATGGGCAGTGGCTTGCTGATCACTAGTGCCTCTGTCCATGAGTTGTAAACTGATGAACGTGCGTTTGCATGCCACTGTCTGGGATCGAACTCGTGCCAGTCGCACGTGTGTGCGCGCGTGACCCAAACTCTGCTGCCAAGAACACGCACGCATCATCTGGTGATTCGAGTGTGGCATGTTGATTCCAATGGTGCCAACACATGCAGTGCACTTTCCATACTGTGTGGATGGCACACAGAGGGTTCTCAACTTCCTACAGATCGGTCGCACGGGTCTTTGTGCCTGGTGAGAACTGCTCAAAGAGTTTCTGAAGCTTCTGGACTAATGGGTTTGATGGCCAATGGCTGAGCTTGTCGATTGAAAGAGCATCTACCTGCTGATCGGCGAACGGTTCGAAGATGTCTTTCAGACAGCACACCTAGTTGTCCAGCGGTTTCACCTTGAGGTCACGCAAAAATGATGTGTGCGAGGTCCTGGCAGAAAAGATGCGCGTCATCTTTGAGCCGATTCTCATGCGCGGAATAAAACGACAAGCGCAGCCCCTTAAACGAACTGCCGCTCCGCGGAGGGTACCCAAACAACGCCCCAACAGGGTGGACGCGCGCGGGGCCCTTAGTGAGCCATCTTAAAATGGGAAGCAAGACGAAAACACGTGCCCAACACTCGCATCTGAAACGCAAAGCGGACATGCGGAAGCTCCGACCCATTTTGTCATCGTGATACTTCGGCTTGCAAAGTTCGGCCTTGGGCCACTGGGGACAAAGATCTTGTTTCGCTCCGGCCTGTTGCAGCAGAGGCCTCTTTCTCTGCGTGCACACACACACTCCGGCCAAAATGGCCTCGCTCGATCTCTCCCCGTGATCGAGCGTTCACTTGTTGCATTGCGCTAACGGGCGCCAATGACTCCAGGGTAGGGCGGGCGGGGAAATTTCGGGAAACAGGATCCTTGATCACGCCTGCTTCCACCACTCGAGCACAAACAAGTTGGTCAACTCTACCACGGATCAGTTCTGCGTGCGTGCGAACGTTTGCCTACATCTTTGAATCAAACCTTGAACTTTTTCCAAACAAGGCAACGCGAAACTACATGGGTGCAAAGCATTACAAAAGGGGCCCGTGAGCCACCTTTGCAGGCGGGCAAAGAAGACCACTTGAGCCATTTACGGTCCCCAAGCCCCAAAGAAATATTGACCGTAAATGCCCATGGCTCAAAACTCCGGATGTCAAAACGCATCATGAGACGTTACACTGTTTGGCCCAAGATAGGTTTACCAAACCCGTTTCAAGACCCCATTCCCTCCAGGCTTTTGGGCCCTGAATCAAGACCCTTCAGCCCGGGAGCGCAAAAAATGAAAATCACCGCAGCTCGATGATCGATCTGAAAAGAGCGGCTGTGCGCAAGACAAATACAGATTCTGGATCTCCGACAGTTCTGCATGATTATGCATCGCTTGGTTCAACCGTTCGGGTGTAGCGCTGACGCTTTTCCCAGACTTTCTGCTTGGTCGTGTTCCGCTGTCCGACTATGGCCCGCAGTCATCATGATGGCGTCGGGCGCTTGCTCTTTAATGATCTCCATGACCATGCGTCGTCCCCTGCAGGTCATGGCATCAAAGCCTGCTCTGGTGTCAACAGGAGTTTCAACTTTTAATCCTGTGAACGTGCAGAATTGACTGAATCTCGCACCTCCTACAAAGGTCGCAACAACATCACTTTTTGCTTTTCTGGCACAGTTCCAACGCGCTTGTTGCGGCGTGGAAGAGAGGTCTTCCACAAACGTGTTCCGACCAGTGGCTTCGCTGGGCACTTCGGAGTTGTTTTCACGTCAATTCTCAACGGATGGAAGGCCGATGACTGAGGAGCTGGCTGATGTCTCCTTTTTGTTAGAGTTGGCTGAGGAGGTTCCTGGCTCTTTCTGTAAGGCTTCCTTCTTATGCAGAAGGGTCTCATCCTTTCAAGCCTTTGTCATGTTTACCTTGATGAGTCGAGTCTCAAGATCAAGACCTGCAAACGCCTCCTTTGCTTTCCTCGGAACGAACCTTGGATTTGTCCTCTTGCCAATAATATATTTTGCCTCCTGCCTGAAGAGGCTTAGAGATCGTTCTCAGATTCTGCGCAAGGTCTCTTCTGATGTCTTCCGGTTGACGGGGTTGCTGAAAAGCTTGTTTTGACAACTGCCTGATCTGAGTTGCTGTCGATGGCCAGTTGAGCCGGAGTCGCAGCTCTAATGAGTGATGTCTTTTTGTCTTCTCTTAAACGCAAGCTCTAATAGCGCTACACCCCATGTAGGTGGCGGATTGATTTTGATTTCTGATTGTTGCAGTGGCTTTGAACAGTTGTTGGCAGGTAACCGTCTTGAGCGTGGCAGGCGCTGTTCCTGCCCTGATGGAACTCGCCATGACTTTGAGTTGCGCCTTCGGGCGTTGCAATATTGAGGACGGTGATGATCTTCGGACGGTGTAAAGTAGTTCCTGAGGACGGTGATGTTCTCTAGTGTTCACCGCTTCTACAGTGAGAGTGAGCAATGCCGTTTCTCCATTCAGAATGACAAATACGATGATATGATATGTTCTTGAATTCTGAGAGGAACTTGGCAGTGATCAATGAAAGTCATAACGCCAAATGTATCTGATCGAAGTCCACGTGTTTTACTTCTTGAAGGCGCTTGATTAGTTGGTTGAAAATTTCACATGTGCTGCGAACCTTCTCGAAGAGGTCGTAGATCGGATTCGGAAAGTAGCGCCCGAGATCGAAATCGGAATTGGTCGGTACTCTTGCGATTGTGCTGGAGGTGAGTCTTCTTCAACCCGTCTGGCTACGCATCGCTTGTGGGTGCTGCTTAAGGCAAGTGGAGGGGGGGGCTTGTCTGCTGCTGGTTCTGATGAGGCGTCCACAAATGTGAAGACGGTCGTGGGCTTGCCACTGCCCGGTTTGCCTGTGAGGTCAGTCTCCAACTGTCTTCAAGCACATCTGGATCTCCACCTTTTCCGGTGTCAATCAAGTTTGTGGTACGTTTTCGGGTGGTCTTATCGGCTGGTCTTATCTGGACCTACTGGACACTCCATCACCCCTGTTGGTGCGAACAGCGCAATCCAATGATCCTGCTACACTGCCCCGATGATCTGTGGAGTTGCTGCGTTCTCTTTTGCTGATGATGACTTGGAAGCACATACAACCTCTGACGTTGCAGGTTCTGCTGCTGGGAACTGAATGCTTTCGTCGTCGTCAAAGGCGAAACGGTTGAGGCCCTTCACAGCGATATCTCCATGATCCTTTAACTCTGCCACACGAGCAAGATCGACGAGAGTATGTCCTTGCTCTACATTCGATTCTTGCTGGAGGTGTAGTGTGATATCTGAGGTGTGACGTCCAGTTGACCAAAGGTGAACTTGGTGTAAAGTTCTTCATTGAACCGAGGCCCTGTGTAAATCACTGGATGGATCAGCATCTTGTCAATGGCTTCATTGTCCTGATGTTGAAAAGCGTCATGACTTGCCATCATTGCACGTCCTGCGCTGGAAATCTCATGCCTTGAGCACCAGCCACTTTCACTCCATGACTAATCTTGATCGTTCCAACCGGCGGATGAGGGCTTTGATAGGTGCGCAGCCTGCTGATTGGCCGTTTGCTCCTCCTGCGACGGCAAATGTTGTGTTTTCCGCCTTTTCTTTTTCCGTCGTGACAGGATGGCTATCGCTCTGACTCCTTTCTTTCAGTTACACTCTGCCTGGTCGCAGGGATCCTGATGTTCGTCGGCCACACTGGCCTTTCCGTCTGCGCCGCTCCGTCCCCGATTGCACTTTGTGCCTTATGATTCTCCTTTTATTCTTACTGATCTTGGGTTTCACCCTGACACCTTTCTGACTGCAAATGCATCATGGTCTTCGAGGACCCAGAATATCTCCCAACGCCGGTCAAAGTGTTGGACCTTGGAACGAAGTTCTCGTTGTGGTGAAGAGGTCGTCGTACCGTGCCTTCATCATCTCATATGGGTAACGTCCCAACTGGATGTTCCTGAAGGAGATTGCAATGATCAGCCCTTCTTCCTGCTGATGAGGGTATTATTTAGCTGTTATTGAGTGGAAAAGCGTCATGGTGCTTTTGCTGAGCAATTTCACGGGCGGCGCTCCAGCCTGAGACTCTTGCTGAGGCTGCGCAGCTCTCTGATTAGCGTCTTGCACTGAGAGGAGATAATCCGGTGATTGTGCTGCGACGACGGGCATCAGATCATTCCACGCTGCCGTCAGCCGGCGTCGCGAGATCTCAAATTTCGAAATGAAAATGAGAAGCTCTGACTTGCGTCTACAATGCTGAAGAAACTGACGAGCAATTCGGGTTTTTGTCGATCGTTCTTCGGAATGTTCTTGAAGGTTGACTCTTTCCACTGGGTCTTGTGGCGCAGCGTTCTCGAGAAGCTCTCTGTATATGAGTGCTCTTGAGGAGAGGCCCCCGGTCCAGTCATCAGTGAGTTCCTCGTGTCTAAACCAGCTGACTTTTCCGTCATACGACAGCGGCTACTTGACGATCATTTTTTAAAATGTCTCTTCAGGACTGCCGACAGGTCGGCCTGCGTGCAAGCCCCCATGAAGCTTTCTCCATCTGATGACATGGAATTGTTTCTTGTCTGAAAACCTGCCCCGCTACCACAATTGAGCTTCTATTTTGGGGGGAGAAGATCCCCATTGGCCTGATAAGTGCAATTGCGCTGGAAGTCCCTGCTATGTGGGCTGTAAGTGTGCACACCGGGAGCGAGCGCAGCGATTGGTAGAAAAAGGGTCTCACGCACGCTGGCGCCGACCGAGAGCCAAGCCTAAGCCAAAAATGACACGCGGCCCGCGTTGAACTCTTCGCCTCAAAAAAAGGAATCTGGTTGCACAAGGCGGAACCCGAGCCCTAAGCGTCAGATTGAACATCTCCCGCCGCAAGACTGCTTGGACGGGCGGCCTGCTTGCTATGTAGTTGGCGAACTTAAGCGACTTGCTAAGCCACTTGCAAGTTGCCTAACTTGAGTTTGTGTGCCCGCTAAGTCTGACTTAGCAGACTTACAACCTGGCTAAGTCCACTTAGCAAGTTAGAGGACTTAGCTAACTACTTAGATTTATTCGGCACCCACGCCACGGCTTTCAACCCAAGGAGGACAACGGAGAACCGCCAGCCAAACCCAGAGCAGCGGTCAACACCACCTGCGTCCACAGCTGAGGGCACCAAACAAAATTTGCTTTCGCAGGGCCTGTCGGCAATCCAGAACCAGTGGCACCGAGCAATCAACGGGCGCCAGCTGAACTTGCCTGTTTAGAGATTGGCCATGTGAATTCGTACATTGGGAGGAGGCGCCGGCCCAACTGTTCAAACTGCAACTCGTCAAGTCCAAGGCGAGCTGAAAAGGTGGACCCGTGACCTTAAAAAACCATGGAAATTGACTCAGGCAGCCCACGCGCCTCTTGTTTTGGACCTTGCCGCGTTGCCTCAGGAGGGCGGCTGCCCGCTTTTGATGTATCGGCGTCTTGTCGTAGAAATCAATCAGCCGACTGTCAGCACGGGGTTACAACCAAACCACCTTGAAAGAAGAATAGTAATGAACTGCACGCTGATCCCTGCAGCAAGTCCTACAACCAAATGTGAATGCATACTGAAGCTATGAACCACATCGTGCGCGGCGGAACACCGGGCGCTCGCACTGCTGAGGCTTCAGCCATGCTGGGCGGACCCAGTGCTGCATTTGAAGCGTTGAACGTGTGTCAACAAATGGAAGCAATGCTAGTCAGTGGCCCTGGTAAAAGGCAACATCAACTTGACATCACTCTGTCGAGGTCAAGGTGCGCGGGCTGCGTGCTTGCAAAGCAACTTGCTGGCTGCGATTTGCGCTGGCACTAAGCAGCTTGTTTTCACGGGCATTGGCCGGGCGGGGGTCTGACCGGCATACACCGAAAACACATTGCCCGCCATGGCTTGCTGTCAGGCCGTGGTGCAACGCCAGTCCAAAGCTTCTGCTTGGAAAAAAAGGCTTTGTGCAATCCATGCCATGGATCCAGGGCGTACAAGCCAAAACCAGAAACTCAAGGACCTGAGCTATGCAAATTCCACACGTGTCCCAACAACGCGCTGCCGTCCATTTGAGTCAGGAATCTTGATGAGTCAATTGCGCAAGCATGTCAGTTTCAAACAGAACGCAATCAAAGCTTCTCTTTTTCTCGACAAAACCGAGATAACAGCAAAAGGAGCGCGTGGCGCTCAGCGTGCCACACGCGCTGATGTTCCACCTTGAGCTGAGGCAAAACCCCGAACACATATCCACCACACCGTCTTGACTGAACTGCCAGAGCTTCAGCTAGCTGGCCCCCTGGTTGCGTGTTCCCGTGGGCTCTGGACTGCCCAGTCTACTGGGCACGGGTGCACCCCCGCTGGCCGGAATCTGAAGGACTGCAAGCCACACTCACAACATCACCCTGGGCACATCGCCAAGAAGCAGCACCCTGGCTCCCAATCACTGGTACACACGGAACCCGAATGCGCAACATCGCCTTCAACAAAAATCCAGGGCTGATCTCGCTTGGGCGAAATTGCACAGCCAGCTGGGCCCGCTACGTCAGTGTGTGTGTATGTGTGTATGTACGTACGCATGTGCGTGTGTAGGTAGGTGTGTGCATGCGTAAGTGTATTTGGCGAATGTGTGTCTGTCTGTGCGTGTGTGTGTGTGCGCGCGTGTGTGGCACGCGCGCATGTCTGTGTGCGTCTCTATACGTGTGCTTTATATTCGCGTATTCGTAAGTGCTTGTGTAGGCGTGCAGGAGTGTCGGTGTGTAATAGGTCTCTCTGCGCGTGTGCCTGTGTGTGTGTGTGTCTGCGCACATGTGTTTGGTATGTCGGTATGTTTGTACGTGTGCCTATCTCTAGGCCTGTGTGTCTGTATGTCTGTTTGTGGGAAGGTTTGCATGTGTTCATTCAGCTACGCGCTGTAGATCTACTCCTCTATCGATTATCGCGTGGCTTGATTGTTCTGGAACTTCCCATTCCCCATCACCAGCCCCCCCCCCGCAGGTGAAGATTGAAGACTAAGCTGCCCTGAGGCTTCGCATGAGTTTGAAGCCCCTGGTGCCCAGAAAGGTCCCTCTAATCCGGGGGGCCGAAAACTAAATTGGAATTGTCCACTTTCAAACCTGGAGGAAACTCACACACGGCAAAGTCAACCACAAGCATCCGGCTGATACCGCCAAGCGGGCAGCGCCAAGCGTTGACAATGGTTTACCTAGAGGTGACTTATTTTCATTATGCGCTGGCTTGATTAGTCATGTGTGCTTCTGTCTTTGGTTCTATAACTGCTGATTTGTTGATCCACACACTGCTTGTTTCATGCGTGTTGTGTGTTTGCATGTGTGTGAAGGTAGGCAAGTAGGCAGGTAGGCAGGTAGGTACATAGGTACGTAGGTAGCTAGGACCCCGTATGTTAGTCTGCATGCATGTGTGCGTGCATGTGTGCGCGTACGTGCGCAGGGCTATCCATTGGGTGACATCTGTCCAAGATGCAAACACCGGGACCAGCACATTGTCCAGCCCAAGGCCTCCATGCCCCTGAACTCTGCCACAGGTGCCCTGGCGGGCATTGGACGCGCATTCGAAAGCTAACCCTTTCACACAAAACACAAGCACTCAAAGGCATACTCAAATGTCAAACCCCCTCCCGACCCAACCTCAAGAATGTTTTTGAAGCATGACTCCAAGTCCAACGTTAACTCGTGAGATTTGTCTTTGAATGTGGCTTCCCTTGCCCATCGTGATAAACTTTTCGTTTTAGAGAAGTAATAAATATGAGCCCGGGAGCTTGGTGAACCCACAGAAACACTGTCACACTTGCCAGTCTACAAGCCATGTGGCTGTCAGCTAGCCCCTCAGAATGTGTTTTCTACAAGTCTAACACGTTGTTCCATTTCTCGGCAAAAGCCCAGAACACGTAAAGCCTCCCTTGCCTCTTTTGCTTTAACGCTTCATCATCTAGTGTTTGAGGCGTGGCTCTCCTTGTAGAATCTAAGGTGGTTTTTGTGCGATGTGTGATATTATTCGGGTGGTATACTTGTATCATATAAGCGCTTAAATGATTGAACTGTAGTATAACACGAATCTTCTTCTTCGGGACAGTATTTCATTTTGTAGAGTCTCTGAAGTGGGATACACTGGCGCGCAACACATAACTTGATATGGACCCAATCCGGCATTTCACGATAGGTAACTGGTATCATTCCTCAAGCTGCAATTATTAGGATGATCCAAAAGTCTATCTTTGCAAATTTTGTTTTAGAAAGAAACCCAAGCTAACCTTGGTTTGGACATGGGAGTGCAGTCAGCTGGGTCTAGTTTGAGAGGCATGACGTTGAGACGGCTGGACATTGCCTGCCTGGCAGTCCACAACGAAATGAGCAGGCAAGCAAAATTCAATGACTTGGACCAGCTGGAAAAACAAGTTGCTCCCTTCGCCAGCGAAGTTCAAGCGCCCATTGCGGGCAGAACTTAGGTGGACGCGTGGGAAGCAGCCCCAAATGTGGACCGACTTGACCCGAGGGAATAAGTTGGCCCAGTGCCGGGCGGCGCTCCTTTCGGCAAGGTTGATGTCATTGACACGCAAACAGTGAGGCCACACGCTGCGCGCAACTTCAATGGAAATTAACGCGCTGGGTCTGACCCCAAGCAAGTCGTAAGCCCGAAAAAGCCCCTCCAACGCCATTGAAAGCGCTGATGACAAGGACTTCAATTTCTAGGGGTCCCGCGCAGCGCCACGCAAGCAACGGCAAAGTTGCTGTCCTGAAAGGGTGATATTTATGCCAGCGTCAATGTCATGAACCAACTCTTCTCTTTCTTGCCAGAAGCAGCATTTACAAGTAAAGTTGTCAGTGTCATTCGAATACTTCATGGAGTCAGGTTTCCAACTTAATTGTATTTTTGTGGTGTTTGTAATCTTTACACTTACAACAACCGCATGTGTTTTGAAGTTCTTGTTTAGCGCCGGCCACAACAAGAACATTCAAGAACTCTGTAAGTTCTTCCGTTTCTGCTACGGTACATGTATATAGAAGTTATGTTTTTCCACGCTATTCCAACAACTAGACATGCAATTAAAACACGTAAGGGTGTGATGTGATATAGCATGATTATGGATTAATTGTGTTTTTCTAAGAATAACGATTCAAAATTCGCGTGTTCCAGCTTTCTCTGCTTGTCCAAATCTTCTTCTTCAACTAGTTCTAAGACACCTACTGCTGAACTGTAAGAACTACTTTCAATAGTTTCAACATCACGTGCTATTTCATACTGCCGCGAACATAGTTTACAAAATTCAATCCCACCACTGTCTGCTAAAACTGCTAAAAGAATGTGTGATGTAAATGATGCTGCTTCTTCATTTGAACATAAGACCGTGTGCAGTATATATATGTTTGATTTTCAAGAAGAAAAATAGTAGAACTTGTTTTTCCTGGAGATGGAACACGTAGCATAATTTCTAATCTCAAAGTAGTTTCTCTCGGGCTTCGGCGTAAGTTGGAAGCATTATGTTTTTGATTTTACTCTGTGTTTCCTTCAATGACCTACCATGTCTTATGTTGATGTGATCTGGCTCTCCTAATTCAAAGGAGGCTGTAGTAAATCTACAGGAAATGACTTTTTATGAGAAAAAACCCTTTGCTAACTCATGTCTCAACACAGGGTGGTTGAAGTGTTCCAAATGATAATACTGTTGCCCCAATGACTTTTCACATCTTCTTAATCGTGTTTTCTCCCTTCATGGCTTCTGCGCTCCTTCTCTGCAAGCCCTTTTTCCCCTTTTTCATTTTAGTTTTATCACCTACCTTTATCTCTTCATATGATCTATTGCGTTTCGCGCTTGTCATGCTTGCTTTTGTTGTCAAATGGTTAGCTTTTTTTTAGCGTTGTCTAGCGCGAGGCAGGTTCAGAAGAACTTCAAATGTGCAATTGTGTCATTGCACATCCGTTCCTTTCTCTTCATCATTTTTCATTCTTGTGTAGAGCATGTCTTTAAATGTCCTGCTTTCTCTCTGACTAGAAGTTGCATGTCCTTTTGTTATATATATATTGCTTGATGTCTTTTTCCTTCGAAAACTTCAAGATACGCCGCAAGAGATTGGTCGCAGCAGCCAGGCTTCTGTGTGAGCGGCTGCGTCAATAAGCGCTTTGCCGCGCACAATGTTCTTGAGAGTTCTGCGCAGCGTCGCTGCAGCCATGAGCGGCCATCAGCTATAGCTAGGAAGCGCAGATCAGCCATGCAAAGCAGCAGCGCTTCTCCCAGCTGTTTGATTCTCAGTCCGTGCGCACGCCGCCTGATTTCCAAAAACCTGTATTTGTTAGTTGCTTTTGTGCCTTGTAGTCTCTCTATTGTTCAAAAATATGTTTTGTTTGTTGTTAATGTTGCCTCATTGAGTTCATCCTCTATATCCCTGTTGCTTCATCGGGTTCATCCTGTCTTTCCTCACGCAGAAACAACTTTACCTTGTTGATATTGCTATTTCTCGGATACTGGCCCAAAGCCACTCACGACTTACCATATGTGCCTTATTTTGTTCATGTATAATCATGCTTCTGTCAAGTGAAGCCCCCTGAGACGCATGACACGTAGTACAGTACGCGTGTAAAAAGCGCTTGTCCAAAGTCGTCGTGTTTGTTTAGCATCATGAATTTTAACTTTCCAATCACCAATACTAATACTTTCAAAAGTACTATTTACATTGAACACCTGCCCAATTTCCCTGCTATGAACTCGGCGTATCACATGTTCTCCGATTTCGTAATTATCTTTCTTTCCGAAAATACTTCAGACAGTCTAGCTTGCTCGTTTGCACCTAGCATTCGTGTAGGCTATGTTGCGCTCTCCTTCCATCATGCCGCTTGTAAAAGATTTCTCTGATACTTCCTAAACAGGCAGTTTGTTGTTTCAAAGATTATTATACCCACAACTTAACTTAGTGTTTAAATTATTCTGTCTTTAGTCTCTTTCATTTTTTGGTAAATTGAAAGTCTCGATGTTCGGCTAAGACAAAGAGTTAAATATTTCTCGTGGTCTTGTGTGTTAGCTAGTGTGTTAGCTCAACTGTCAGCGGTTCCTTTAGCCTTTTCAGGATACTTATCCTTAAGCTCTCTTATTCAAGATATAACTCCTCATCCTAGTTCATCAAGCCTGGTCATATGTCAGTAGCCGTTCCCTGGCTTCAATCGGAATACTAAAAAGTATTCAACGCTACTGCTTGTTATTGAGACATACGAGGAACACATTATAACCTAGGTTGTTCACATATTCACCTAGATAACTCTTTCCAGCTCCAGGCACAGGACCTTTAATCAAAATCAGATTGTTTGTTATGATTTGCTCAAAGATGGTTTTAGTATCATATTCGTCTATAGCACGGTTTTTCAAATTCTTATAAGTTGGAATTTCTGATAATTCATGATCCTCAATTTTCATATATATCGCTTGGCGGCGATACTTGTTACTTTTTTGGAAAGACTAATGAGTTCTCTTGCCTGCGGATTTTTTCCATCAATAATGAAGGCATTGGTTAACAGTATGCACATGAATACTGTTGTCTTTCAGGTTTATAAACTTTATGCATTTGAAAACCATGTTGTTGCATGAGTCGGTCTTTTAAGCCTCTCTTATTTGCCATTGGCAATGTGCAATATGTGGCTTCTATTTCCTTTTCAACTTGTTCAACACATGATATTTACCATTGATAGTTCTATCCCATCCGCCATCACAAAACACCGCCGTGACAAGATTTAAGTTTGTACTTATGATATTTTCCTATATAAGCCTGAAACTCTAAAACCATTCCCTCTCCTCATGGTTTCATCCGTCATCTCTGTCGAACCCTCATCCTTCAAAATCCTGCAATTTCATTAGTTCTTCCGCGAGCAATGTCTTGATGATAGAATGCTTGAGTTACTGCATCAAAGACAAAACTCTTCTGGCATAAGTCCCTTTTCCAGTACTCCGACATTACAATTGAAATTGTGTTTAAGTTTTATATCTTGACCTAAGTCATTGGGTATGTTAGTCTTCCATGGCTCCTTAGCTATACTTTGGTAATCTACTTCGAAAAAACAGAAATGTGTTTAAAGATGTTGAACTTTCGGCTTCGCCAATAAACTGTCCTCAAAAAAACCAGTTTGTTAATCACGGTGCAATAGAGATCTTCCTTTTCCATGAAACTGAAACAAGAAAACAAAATGCGACACGGTATTAAAATCGCGTTTATCATAATTTGAAGCTGTTTACTTGTCAAACTATTGAAGAGCTAAAATTACCATAAGTTAGCTAAAGTCTGGCATAAGCTTTGTCCTGGTCAACCTCAACAACACTGAAATTCACCAGCATTGGCTATGGTCCTACAGCTATTTAATAATTCTTTATCAATGTCATTATAATAAGGGTTCTGTCGCAGATTAAATAACGACTTCTTAAACTCAAACATTGCCTTGGACATTCTATTATACGTGTCTTCGGTTTCTATGGTTATACTAGCTTTAAAAGCATTAACCCTACAAACTTTGTGTTCATTCTATGCAAAACCTTTGCATCGAAAATTGAA